ATATATTGTATTTATAGTATATGGCAATTTGTATGTATATTGAGACTCGTTTCCAATAAGATAATCGACGCAAGACAAGGCCCGATTTCAGATTGCGTTTCCATCGATGACGTGTTAATTGTGCTGGAGCTTCTTTTGGGCCGCTGCGTGCTGGAAGTACCCCATGCTTACATTGTTGCCATGTAAGTGGCGGTTGGGGATGGGGTTGGGACAGAGGGCTGGAGTGGGGGCAAGGCCGAGCAAATGGGTTACGCCCGTGCAAAAGTACCAGTAGGCAGCAACGTGTGTGCGAGTAATATAATAAAAGACCAAATAATATATGCAGCATATAAAATATTACATGTGTATGGGTATCATTGCCAAGCAGGGTTGCCAGGCCTTTAGAAACATTCAAAAAAATTGTCTTTAATCTATAAACAAGCTAATGAAAGAAATACCATCTAAATTTATGGGTTTTTTTCAGTTTTCTCTTTAAGCATACAGTTGTAGTATTCATAATATTACATATTCATTTGAAATATTTAATTACTATAATATGAATAATCATTAGCACGTTAATTTCTTAACACTTCAGATTTAGCTTCTCACTAATTCACATACTTATCGAAATTATATAATAATTGTTACTTGCTGACAACCCTATGGCCAATTTCCGTTACATCATTCACCATCCCCTATATTTCCTTTAATTATTACTTTTTTTTCTGCTGCCTTCTTCTGCTTTCTTCTTCTTCTGTAGATTGATATGAGACAATGCATTTTATCTCGGCACGGCAATGAGACTCTTACACATTTTATTTTTCACTCTGCTTTCATTCAGCTTTGACATAAACCCACACGCAGCCACTGAGACGCTTACACGCAAAACCGCCTGGGTTTTTAGGGTGGACCAAATAAGCTAGCAGATTTTTAAAGTGATGTAATAATGTCATATATTTTTATATATATGATAAGTATGTCTTGTTTATGCAAAGCTATTATAAATTATAAAAATTTGTAAGCACTCAAAAAATGTTAACAAAATAAAATCGAGTATATATAAATATTTGGTGTAATTTTTTAAGGCATGTAAAATCAAATTATTAAATTATTATTTATTATATCAAATTAAATTAATAAACATTAACCGCTTTTAACCAAAATATATCCTTTTTTTCATCTTATTGCTCGAATTTTACAAATATTTTTTATCTTCAGTTCTTGGTCCACTCTATGCCCAAGTGAATTGAAGTATTGCCTATGAGCGCGTTTACACACACACGTGCTGCCGCTGCTTCTCCTCCACCCTCTCCCTTGCTGCTGCTACAAGATGCAAGAGGCAGAATGCATGTCTAGCTGCGATAGATACTATATAGAGTGCTCGTAATACAACTAAATACTTAATTTCGCTCTTTGCCGTTGCCTTTGATTCTTTTAATTTTCCAACGAAACACAGGAGGCACAACCACAGGCGGGGGCGTGGGTGGCAGGCGGCTGGGGGCTGTCGGGGGCCAAAAGGCCTCAGACAAGTACAAAATAGAACAGAATAGAAGGGAGCGTAACGGTAAATGGCTGCACCTCCAGCCCCGGCAACGACTCATGTTGTCTGCGTTGTCTCGCCTCATTTACGGCCTACGCACACCCGCTCGCACACACACAACACACACGACACACACATGAGGCTGCCTGGAAGACAGCTGTTTGGAGCGCTGCGCCGAGGTGCATGCAGTTGGCTGCAGAGTAAGTCGGTCTTTCAGACGTGGCAGACGGCCCAAAAATTGCCGCTGGCAAAAAAAAATACAAAAAATCGTTCATACGCCGCGTGGCGCGATCGATGCTGACAGAGAGAGGCAACATTGCGTGCGAGCGACCCAGAGACTGGGACAGAGCGTGTTGCTGTTGTTGTTGTTTGTTGATTGAAATGTAAATAAGCAATGGGCGCCAAAAAAAATATTGCCAGCGACGATGTTAATCATTTCAATATGCCAAAGCAAAAACTGCGCCTGGCCAAGTGCAGTTGGCCAATTGACGTCGCGGCGAAAGTGCAGACCCAGATCCAGGCGTGACGTATCTGTTGTGTAATAAATCAATTTGCGACTTTAATGCGAACGCAATTCAAATCAAACAACAAATCGTTACAACAATTTCAAATGACCCACGAAGGCGAAGTGTCTGTCTCTGCGTGTATTTGTGTGTGTGCACTTAAAATCATAAAATATATGATGTTTGTTTTTTTTTTAAATCAACTTAAAGCTGCCGTGTCTAGCTGCACTCTATTGTTTGGTTTATTAACAAACGGTTTTAAATTACAAAAATGAATTTTCAATCACTGCCAAACGCAGGCTGTCAGCTCGTTAATTGTTGACGTGCCGCCATTAAGCGCACAGTGGTTACAAACTATAAAAATATGTATATATATCCACGCATATATAAATGCCAGCACTATCTGACTGAATTAATTATGTGTACATGTCAAATCTTACCGCGCATCAATTATAATGCCATTGCAGAGCGTATTAAATTATGTCACAAAAGAAATATTCTACTTTTTTCGTAGCTGCTTTTAAGTATTTTATTAATTTTAATTTTAGGTTTATTATAAACAAATAAATTGGACTAATCTTGGCCAAACTAAATTGTCAAATCAAAATTTGACTCTTTAAACTGATTGACTGGCAGATGCCCTGTTACCAGGTCACAATTATTGCAAAACTTAACCATATATCCATAACTGTATAAGTATTGCAAATTCTTGAAAAACTTTGATGTTAACATTTTGAGGATATTGAAGACTTCTAAAAATAAAAATAAATGTTGACCCTGTGTAGAATTTAGTAGTTAGAGAGTTAAGCAAATTAAGGGAAATATTACAAATTTCAAATAGATTAATGGCATGTATATACATGTATACATATATTTTTATTCGGAAAAGTACCCCTGACCCTCTCCATATATTTTCCATATACATATATAAAAAGCAAATTCTTATTAAAACATAACATTAGAATACCCATTCCCAAGCACACAACTTGTACAGGGTATACGAAGAAGATTCATAATTCAGGCAACAATGTATTTGATGTTCTGCATGTCATAAATTACACGTTTATGTCATTTTCATTAAATTTTTATTTAAGATTGGCGTTGAGCATTCGCTGTGGAAATTGTTTTTCCATTAATTTCAATAATTTTCTGGTGTATTCGGTTTAATTTATTTATTATTGTATGTGTGTTTTTTTTTCTGCCCATTTGGTTTACATTCGCAGCGCTCTCCAAAAGAAAAAAAGAAAATGATGTGCGAACAAAAATCGAGCAAATCAAATTGATTTTTAATTATTACCCCTATAAAGCATATAGTCTGAAGCTGATGCCGCTTGTTCTCAGCTCTTTAAATATCATTGATCATTAGGTGAGCATTATTTATAAATAAACATGCTGCGCCGTTCTTTAATTATTGAGGAACATTTAAAATCAATCTGCAATCGAATGAGTAATACCACAAGCCAAACAATATGTGAAATCTAACAGGTTCTAGTCATCATAGAATAAATAAAGACCTTGTAGCATTCCCACATAGTACGCGGAATTACAAAATATGTGGGCTCTAGACGATAGTTCCGTCCAACGCATACGTAGGCCCAAATGCTAATTCGTATGTTTATGTCCCGACTTGTCTAAAAGGAAATTGGCCAGCGAACAAGGCGAACTGTCTGCGGGTTTGTCGGCCTACTGGCCACCTAAGAGAGGGGTTTGTAGCGTAATACTAGAAAACATTTCGAGCGAGTATAAAATAGACACAAAAAAAACAAACAAGAAAAAACGGCCAGCTGTGGCATACAGACGATTAAATGCCCTAGCAGACACATTGCAAACGGTTTTGCAGATATGCGACGTGAATTCTAAAGTTCATAATTGCTAAATTTACTGAGGGTATTTTAAGAAGTGAAATATTTCCTTACAAAAGCTCACTATTAGATAGATTCTTCCAATGGAGTTATAAGCTATGGTATTAATGGTATATATTGATTAAAACTTAGCTATATGTAAAGAACATGTTGGAACGCGCATATGCCAAATTTTCTGAAGACATCTTTAAAGTTTTTCATTAGTAGTCCGTTATGGATAAGATTTAGCTAAGTTTCTTACTACAAACTAACTAACTACTAACAAAAGTTAAGATATCCGAATATAAATGAGAAATTTTTAGTCAAAAATTCAATTTTCAACTGATTGTTCCTATGGCAACTTAATGATATAGAATTCCGATTCGACAGGTACTTCCTGCAACGGAAAGGCGGAACTAGGCAAAATCGTATGTTTATATATTTGAGACAGAAAGAAACTAGTTTGCATTGGGCAGACGCACAGAGAGACCTGGCTATATCAACTATGCTCGGTATCAGAATATATATAAATATAATATTTTTGGATCTAAGATGTTTACTTCTATGCGTTACATATACTATGGAAAAATTATAAAACCCTCTCTACAATGGTATAAAAAAGGCACAATAAATTGAGGTAAACTTAAACATATAGACATCTGTGCGTGTGTACGTGTGTGTGTGTGTGTATGTAGGAATAACAAAAGTACAAGTAAATACAAATATCGAACACAATGGAAACAATAACGTGCGAAGCGATTGGAAATGCGCCAGACGCTGCCGCAGCCGCAGCCGCTGCCACTGCCACTGCCACAGCTACTGCCCGGTCAGCGTCCGGCGTGTCAGTCAGAGTCAGAGGCAGAAGCAGCCGGTTAGCCAACGGGCCAACAACAAGTCGCAGATAGAGTATACAAATCGATAGGAATTATCGGAGCGATCGTGTCGCGTTGCCCCGCTTAACTGTAAAAAAAAAACATATATGTACATATATATGTATATATGTATTTGATTTTAATTGAAATGCAGCTGCAGTTGCAGCAAATGTACAGCTGGAAAAATGTAATAAATTGCGTGTGCGCTGCGCTTCAATAAAAACAAAAACAAAAATAAAATAACAACAACAATAAGTAACGACCACAGCAAAAAGTGCCGCATAAGTGTTGGAAAGTGCATTGTGCTAATTATGCGGGCGTACGGGGCGTATGCGTGTTGAAAGCGCAGCTAAAGTGAATACAGAAAGTACACGTCGACACCAGAAGTCAAAGCAAGAAAAGGCAAATCCGACACGACTTGTTGCTGGGTAAAACGAAAATCGAGTCCATTTTTGTCGCGTCAAGCAAATGGAAAAGTCGCGGAAAATGTGAAGAATGTGTCTGTGACGGACGTGTGTCAACGTTTACGAATTATCAATTCAATACAAATGAAATGTGATTTACCTGTCAGCTCCCCTCTATCTCTCTCTCTCTCTCTCTCTCTAAGTGTGTGTGTGTGGGTGTCTAACTAATTGAAATAATGTCATGCATTGGCTCGACGGCATTTCTTTGGATGACAATTTAATTAGCGGACGCGCCAGCGGCAGCAACGGCGACAACAGCGACAACAATCAGCGGAAATCAACGCAAAGCTCATCGCCAGCAAAAGCAAGTAGGTTGCAACATAGTTTAACGCACACACACAAATACACACACACACCTATACATACACATATGCAGCGTGAGTTACTCGAGCGTGTTTATTTAGCTTAGCTTAACAAAATTCCATTCCAAGTCTGTAAGCGCAAGTTGACTATGGTCAAAAACTCACAAGCACCAGAGTTGCCAACACAATTATTTGAATTATTTACCGTTTAACAGCAGAGTTGCCAATACAAAGAGTTATTTACCGCTTTACAGCAAAGTTGACGACACTATTATTTGAGTTATTTACCACATAACAGCAGAGTTAACAACACAATTCTTAGAGTTATTTACTCTAAACATCCGAGTTGCCAACACAGAGAGTTAATTACAGCATCACAGCAGAGTTGCCAACACAGTCAGTTATTTCCTGCTGAGCGGCAGAGTTGCCAACACAATTATTTGAGTTGTTTACCGCTAAACAACAGACTATGTTCAGCAAGTCAATAGTTTATTAAATGAATTAACAATCATTTAAGCTTAAGTGCAAAAAAATTGAAAACCAAATAAAAAGTTGCTTTCGAAATGCATTTTACCAAAAAATGTATGTGTATAGTACAACAAAGCAAGCTTAAAACCGGTTTAGTTTTGTAAAACATTTGGGAAGAGTATTTACTAGGGTTTCAGCAACTTTAAAAATTAAAGTTCTTTAATTTTGCTTTTAATTTAAATTAAAAATAATTTTGAATCTCTTTTCAATTATTTATACAACTATGAGATTTAAAATATTAGAAAAATTAAAATAATTAATAAAATTGAAATAATTTTGTGAAATTATGTTAGGAAATATCTTTCAAAAATATTTCCAGCATTGAATAAAATAAATAATCAGAATCAGAACAAATGAATACTAATCACGCATAGTAAATCACTTCAGGTTTAACGAAGTTTTAAAACCTAAAAGACGCTTTGCAACGAATTGGCAACTTGTCAAGTCTCACAAGCAGCTAAGGCCATATTTTGGTAACATTTATTATTAATAGAATTAACGTATTAGCAGTCAGTAAATCTTGAGGTTTGCCCAACTGTAGTTTTTATAATATGATATATTGAGCTAACGCTAATGCTAATGCTAGTGCTGATGTTTCCGGCATTTGACCTTATGTTTTTCGGCCATAAAATGATGCCTTCACCTGTGATTCGAGCCAGTTGCCGTTTTAATGCCAAAGCGCTTCAGTTGTTGGCAGACCGAGGCATTGTTTAAAAGCATTACGGGTATGAGATTTATTTCAATTACGCCGTAAAATGTACTTGAAATCGTTTAAAAATGTATTTTTTTTTTGCTCTTGTTTTTGGCCACACTGTTTTCCAATGAATTTATTATGCCGCTAATTAAATGACGGCCTCGTCTGGTGAATGGTTGGGTCAGTCGCATAAATTTGTCTTTAGCATCAAAGAAAAATTTATTGAATTTCATTTTAATTGGGCAACACATTATTCTAGCTTTAGGCCCAATTTGTCGACCGGGTCAGTGGCATATTTTTTAAGCGAATGTGTTTAATCGTGTTGTTTTATTTTTCTTTTTGCCTATGCAAATATTTCACATATATGCAATTAATGAAAACATATTTATACTACGCGCGCATATGAGTACATATTTCAATTTGGTCTGTACAATTAGCAGCGAATGAAATTAAAATTGGAAACGCTTGAAATATTATTATTTGCATTTCATTTGCGCTCATAAAAAGCGTCATCGGAACATTGAACCCCCCCACAAATGCGGGCCAATATTTTCCCTGTTGATTTTCAACAACAAAAACAACGATTTCGTACATGATTTTATGTGCTACGCTAATTTTTGGATAATTAAATTGATTTCGCTTCCGCTACCTTGCTAGCAGGCCCACGAGGAAATCGACGCTGAAAATCGCTTTGATTCGGCAGAACAATGTCCCGCTGCGACCATATATACCCTGGGGTATGTTAATTTTTGCCGTTTATATGGAACGCCACAAAATTAATAATGTATTTCCATTTGGGTAATTTTCGTTTCCTGAACCTGATTTGCCAGAGCCATAGGCTCAGTTTTTGGCTTTTAATCAAGCCACACAGTTTCTTATTTCAAAATTCTAAAATTAAAATCAAAACAATTCACATTTGAATATTTTTAAATTGAAAAGTATGCTAAATTTCTAGCGAATTCCCATAAATATTGCCTCGAAGGCAAAGAGTTGGGGTCAAAATTATCTTTGAGGCAATTTTTTCAATTTTTTCACAATTCTAAGAAAATGTTTACCATCCCAAATTTCTTTTATATACAAACAATAATTTTTATTTATTTATTTGTTTAAGTATGGTTTGGTATGGTTCAATGTGCTCCTGTTTGTCTGTTGACCCTCGACTTAACTCGTTGCGCTTCATGGTAAATAGAACATTGAGGTTCAAATATGTTAAACAGACAACTTTCTCTTAAATCTCTAGCATATGTGAATTTAAATTTCAAGGGTATCTCATATTTGGGTAAACAAATTAAAGCAAAATGTACCCGTTTTAATGTCTTTTGCTTGGATCGCTTCAATTATCACAGTGCCAAACGGTGTGACGCATTGTTTTCATTTTTGGAAATTATTTACAAAATAGCCCGAGGCATGGATAAAGGCAAAGGCCAAGCAAGTGTTATCCCGCACTTGTAAATATCATTCAGTCAAATTGTCGGCATATGGCGCAGAAAGCATTCAAAACTTATTGTTTACAATGCTCTTTGCTGCACATTTCGGTGGCCAACTGGAATGTTGGCCAACATTTACAGCTGACTCACGAGCTTCCAACAGCGGAAGATTTGTGTGAGTGCGTTTCCAAAATAGATTCGGCCTGATCTTAGCACTCACCTTTCGGCCAGAAATGTGTCCACAGCTAGACAGCCGCAAAATAAAAATATACCATTTGTTTGGCAAGAGTTTAATTTAGTTGAAATTCTGACACATATCAAATAAATAAATGCGTTGCGCCAATAAGCAACTTTTTGAAATATATTTCAAGAATTTATGCAAAGAATTAAAATTCCTTAACAAATTGATTACGAACTATTGCAACAACCTGAAGTATGCCATCGTTTGGTCAAAACTAACTTGGGAATAGTTCACAATCATCACAACAATAAATAAATATTTCTGTTAAATACAACTTTGCTTTAAATTAAATAAGCAGGGCAAGTCAAGGCCAAACTGGTTTTCTATATTAAATTCAGTTAAAGGTCTACGAAGAAGTTAAATATGTATATGGGGAATTCGACAAGTCCAATTATAAGTTCTTCTTTTTAACAGAATGATTAAAGACAGAAAAATCAACTCATTCAGAATCACTTTTAGTAGCTTTTTCGACCAGTCTTTAAGCTCACAAGCTATGAAAAATAAATTCCAAAAATTCTACATTTTCAAAATTGTATTCCCAAACTATTTACTATTTTTCAAATTTAAAAGCAGAATCAATTAAGAGACCTAGTCAAGTTCAGAATGTTCTCGCTTACAAAAGTGAATTGAGTTCTGACAATGTTATAGAATTAAAGCTTAAGTGAGCGCATTCCCTATCTCAAATAGTGCACATTTTCATAAATGTCTTAAGCATTATAATTAGTATAAATTTATAGGCTTTCCTCAAGGCAGGAGGCCATAAATTATCATTTAAAAAAGTTCAAATCCATTCGAAAAACTTTGATCATAAACTTGTTTATTTATGTTTAGCTGTAATACAGTGTGCCTGTATGCAGGTCAAAATCGTAGAAAAACTATAAAATTGATAATAATGTTGCCTTAAAGATACAAATTCTGGCGACACAGTCAGCCCGTCAGACCGTCCTCCCGTTTCATTCGCAGCTCTTTAACTCGCTGCACCATAAAAGTCATATGTTGTATATTAAAAACTCTCGAAACGGCGGACACATCAAAAGTTCTATACCAATGCCAGCCCCTTGAGTGATCTTTATGGGAATTCGTGAGTGGCTGCGATTTTGGAACGAATCTCACAAGTTTTGCATAAAAAGCGGACGCAAAAAATGATGTGCCAGACGAAATACAGAGTCTGTGCCACAAAAGCCAAATGCAGCAGGCTGCAGGCCAACATGAAAAATCACAAAAAAACAAGAACAAGAGCAAGCAAGATTTTTGAAAGCTTATTTGCTTGAATTTCAGCTGTGCATTTGGTTTTGGCCACACACACAAAAAGTTGCGTTTGCTTATACCCTACACGTAAGACCAAAGGGTATGTCAAGCTTGTTAGTGAAAATGTGTTGCATATTGGAGAAAATAATTTCAAGCATATGAAGTATATTTATTCTTGAGTAATAAGCTAGTTTCTTAGTTTGAAACTAACTTGACGGAGGTTGCAGGCATTATATAGATGGGAGCCATCTGGCTTGAAATAGCTACCAGGGAAACAATCAATGGAAAATTAAGTTCTTGCATAAATTACTTTCTTGTATTATCAATTTATTTTAGCCAAACTCGAGTTTGGCTTAGTTCCAAGCATAAGAGAAAAAAATATCCCAATATCGTAACACTTTTTTAAATTCTTCTTATGTTTGAAAATTTCATTAATGAGTTTTTATAACTACTTCTTAGAGAAGGCAAAACTTTTTGACTTTAACAGAAATCTTTTAAATTAATTGAAATTCTGATTGTTAAGCAATATTCAAGTATATATGGATATATATTTATGCTTCGTGTTATAATGGAATTCATATTTATATCTGGGGGGAGGGTCAGCAGGGTTAATTCTACTCAGTTTGAGGCGTGTTGAAGACACATTTGGGTATCTTGGATAGAGCCTTGCACTTGCATGTAAATGAAATATCTCAATGGGAAGGGTATTTGAACTTCGATAATTGCTGCTGCCGGTTTTTTTTGTGCTTTTCGGTTTTGCTCTCAATTTGTAGTGCGTGCAACGTATGGATGTAAATTTTGACTAGGAGACGCACGCATATTCCGTCACTGAATTGGCATGCCGTCTGCAACGGCTGCCCCGCCCACTGCTTCTCACCCCAGCCCCAACCCTCGCCTCATTTCATAGGCATATCAGCGTGTGTGTTTGGGCCTAACAACAACAAATAAAATGTATACGCAATTATTTAACATGAGCACACAAACAACAACGAAATTTGTTGCCGTGCGGCATGCGGCCAAGTGGTTGCCCCAGACGCAGCGGTTGCAGTTAGCAGTCGCGTGCCTGCCAGGCCACAACGTATCCGTTGGCTCGTTCCGTGCGCGTTTTAACCTGTGCCCACCCGCCCCTCAATCTCAGTCTCACTCTCACTCACTCTCTGTATCAGTATCTGTATCTTTATCTGCATTTGCATTTGTATCTTTGTCAACGCATTCGCATCCGAACGTTCGCCGTCTTTCGCAGACAAACACACGCATTTCTTTCTGTGCCGTGTAAAAATTTATTTTTAAAATTCCATATATGATCCACTTATTTTAAGCATGCATAGCATATACAAGTGCCCAAATAATAAGCCGGATTCTTCATAAATTCAATCGAACACTTTGCATCTACGGCCCGCGAATTGCTTTGCCCACGAAAATAGCATTTAATATTTATATTTATGAGTTCCTATTACGATACTGAGTAAGTTTATAAATAAACAGATTTCAATCCCAAGTAATCGACTAACCAATACTCTTTAGCTAAATTTTAATTCCTTCATAGATGGGTGTATTGGTAAACCGTTTGTGAGATTTCACTACGAGACGAATTAATTACTTTTCATTGTATTTTCATTCATGCAGATGAATTACTTAAACAAATTTCTATTTAAAATATTATTTTTAACGATTGATAGATGATACACAATGGAAAGTTATATTTCTGATTTAATTAGCTAATCTTTAAAATAGCTTAAAAGTGAGCGGAAACAATTTGCGTTTACTTAAAAATAAGTGTTTTGTAATTGTGTACATAAACAGAGCACAATACAATCACGTTAAATGTCTTAAAAAGTGGCATAACACATTTAATAGATCATAAGACATGATAAAAGTATGTCAAGAATATTTTTGCTGCTCTGTTTGCTTTGAATAATTAATGAAAGTCATCTTTTGAATGCAACTATATACAAAAAATACCCTTTCGAAATGAGTTCCATTAGCGCACATGTGCTGCTGCAATCGTTTGGGGTCTGTCAGGGATTCACGCTCGAGGCGCTGGTCTCGATTGTAACACATGTAAATACTGATTGAATAATGACAAGAGCACTTGACAACTTGATCGATAAATCAATTGCCTTGGCAGATAATGCTTCTACGACCCTTTGAATAAAATGCCTTACAACCCCTCACACCCCCTGGAGCAAACCCTTGCGTGCTGCTGTCAGGCCTCTTCGTTGTTGTTTTGCTGTTGTTGGGGTTTCTCTGTTCGAAATATGCCTTTGTGCGTTGTCTCTCGATGCCGCTTTCAGATGTATGTAGTTCGCCGGAAAAACATATTTACATATGAATACACTTTATATACATACTTATATGTATATGCATTGTGTATAAGGCAGACAGGTCCTTGCGAATGTCATTGAACATCAAGATATTAAAGTAGTGATTAATAAGCCACATATCGTTTTATGCGTGCGTTTGTCTGGAAACTTTTTGATTACCTTAAAGCGCAAAACTCAACTGAATTATCTTTTAAAATTCGCATATCTCTCGGTAAATAACTCATTTGCTACGCTCTGTTTGTATTGTTTGTGTCAGAATATATATTCAATGCGCTTACATACTTTGACTCTATCTAAATAAACACGCTCTCGAGTATTTATAAACAAAGTAAAAGTAAATTTTCGTATTAAAGGAAAAACGAAAATCACATGTCTAACATTTACACGTTTACAACAAGAAAAATAATTTGCTGAACATTTTTGTTCTTCTTTAATTTTTTGTTTTTGTTATTTTGTTTACGATTTGTGTTGTTGTTATTTTTTCTTTCGTTTTTCCCTCCGTTTTTACTTTATGTGTCTTTTTGCCCTTTTTTTTGTTTGCTGGTTTTTCTTTCATATGCGGAAAACTAACGCACGACTATGCTCCGAGAACGAAGACGTCATGCACACTATAAGCTAAATAGCAGGTAACTCAACAGATCTTTAAATATTTTATCTATAAGTGTGTAACTATAAAGTGTAGATAAGATCTAAATTTCAACTGCCAACGGAAGATTGTGACATGATCTCTAAAGCAGTGCAAAGCTCTGCGCACAAAGAGAGCGAAAGCTTTGCATAAGCTCGCGAGCTTTTCTTAAGGATCATGCGCAGTTAATTTATAGAAGTTCTCTTATATTATAAATATATATATAACTTTTTTTATATTTTATAAGAGAAAAACTCTCAATTTTATTTAAAACATAAATTATGTTAAATAATAAATTTTTAACTTTTTTTTAACTTAAAATTGAAATAATCAAGAAATTAGTTTTAGAGCTTATGCATAGAATACTAGAAAAGTATTGCCATCTCTCAAATCCACCCTGAACTTACTAGAGTATACTGAGAGTTAAAATCAAATTTCATTAAATTTTCGTCACAGATAAATATACTCTATAATTATAAAAAATGTCAACAATTTCTTAAACGAACATTTAACGGCATCTTAACACAAATATTAAAATATTATCAGTTAAGATTAAACTGTCTGCGTCAAATTTATGTCAAAGTAAACAATAGAAGCATGCAAAAAGAATGACAGACGCGATTAACTCAGCCACAAATTGGCACGAGTTTTGCAAAGCAAAAAAAAAACAACAAAAAATAAAATACGTTTTTTGTGCCAGATATTAATTGGCTCGCATAACCTGAGCTAATTTTTTAATGGCTTATAAATAATTTAAATTCACACATTTTCATATACAAATATATGTGGAAAAATATTATTTATGGCGAGCCCTGTGAACTTCACATTTGTTAAATATTAACCGAACTATGTATGTATATATGTATGTCGAGGGGCGGCTGAAAAGTAGTCACAGTAATTAAGAAAATAAAACTAATTTGGCAGCACTCCAACATATTTTAGTTTGTTTGCCAATGCAGATGCAGAAAGCCCCAGGCGCAAATAAAAGTAAAAGTTATTGACCTTCCAAAAGCGAATCTATTTATGGAACTAGCTAAATTCAGAACGATTATATTATCGAACGCGTTAGAGATGACACAGATATCGATTAATAATTGGCCAGCCCTCGTCTGCGATTTGTTTACAAGTGAAATATTTATAAAGAATGTTTACAACAAGCCCCGTATTCAATTATTGATCTTAGCTGACAGACAGATTATTGGGTTAAAGAGTCGTACTTCTGCGTCTGTTTATATGTAAGATTTATTAGCCATTGCGTCTGTGTCTGCGTTCGAGATACTTTTATTTTAGCCCACTTGTAGCCACAGCCAGCTCAATGACACATTTCAGGTGCCTTTTTTTGGACATTCTGACCACAGGCTATCCAGCTAATAATTAGCCACTGCATACAATCAAGTAAAAATGGTTTAACAATTTACAATGTTATTTAACTCAGTAGCTGAGCTGTTAAATTAATTGAAATTGCGGTGCAGCTGGGTAATTTATATTATCTGCTGCTTATTGTTAAAATTAATTAATTTTTGTTGTCGTTTTGGTACTTGTAATAAACCAAACTGTGCTTCCAATCCGATTAAAGGCTTGATTAAATTTAATTTATTTTCTATGTAGCAAACAGAAAAAGATACACAAAAAAAAAGCAACAAAAATTGCAAATCACATTAAATAAATTGGCTTGCTCAAAAACTGCCCTGGTAGGGGTTGGGTTTTTATAATTATTAATGAATGAAAAATGTTAATTTAATCCATTTAGTTTTACTCAAAATTAATATATATTTAAAATAAACTACTTTACATTGTTGCGGCTTATTTACGTATGCAAAAGTATTTAGCTTTTCCTTTACATTTACATTATGTATATATTTGTACATAAGCGAATCGTAAAAGCTTTTTTTCGTTGAAAACTCTCTGCCTGCACGACTACGTCAAAAGTTCAAACTCTGACGTTTTATCTCTTTTGTATACCCTTTCAAATACGTTGAACAACATTTTGATATCCATTTCACACATCATGTATCTTTAAAATGGAGCAGCAATCAAAAAATCTCCTTCAGACGAGAAAGGGAGGTAATTTTATACTTAAAAGAAGAGCAGCTATCAAAATATGTCATATTTAATAGTTTTGTTTTAGTCTGAAAATGTCTCTAGGTCTCTAAATTAGGGAATATTTGCGCCTTTGCCAACACTAATTTGTCTATTTTAAAAAAAAAAAAAATATACAACAAGAATCTTAATTTAAATAAATAACAAATTGTATATGAAAAGTGGGCCTACTTTTAAGCTTGCTTTGTCAAACCCTAATAAACTATTGTCGTTGTCCAATACTGCACTTTATATGAAATAAACAACAAATGTATATATTATAATATTTAAAACTATCAAAAAATATTTTATTCTTTTTAATATTTTTATATTAGTTTGTGTGTTTAGGTCTTTAAATTTAAGAATATTGCGTAATTGCCAACACTCATTCGTCAATTTTATAATTAAAATTATTCAAGAAGAACTTTGAAATAGTTTCTAGTAACAACTTTTAACTGAAAATTGCCATTTTTTATGTTTGCTTTGTGAAATAGTTAGCTTAAAACCCAAGTGAAGTATTGACTAACACTATATTTTTTATTGAAAAAGAGATGTGCAACTATTTTTATACCTTTGTTGATATTTGTATAAAAAAATAGAGAGAGAGCATTGTTTTAATCGGCATTTGGCTTAAGATTTTGCGTCTGGGTTTTTCTTTTCATATTTAATCTCCGAGCAGACTGCGCGCATTTCATTGAGAACGATGATTTGTTGATATTGGTAGTGCCTTTAAGATTCACCCGTCGCCGCATTTGCTTAATGAAACTTTTCACAGTTTTCTTTTTATATTGTTGCTTTTGTTGTTGTTGCTGTTTTTTTTTTCTTTGGTTTAGTTTTTATTAAAAATTGAACCAGTGGCCGTCACGGGCAGAGCTTGTTGCTCTTGGCGGCATTCAATGCCAGTCGTTGGCGTTCGTTTGTTGCTTTTGCACTGTTGTTGTAGTCGTTTGTTTTTGGCCAAAACTGATCTCGCCCAACTGTCAGTTTTCTGTTCAGAGCCGAATCGTGCGGTATTGCAATACGAAATACATTTTTCTCCGTCTTAGCTGCGTTGAATTTTCTTTCTTTTGTTATCTAATTTTTCATACGGTTTCCAAGACAATGTGTGTGCCTTAAAAAACAATGTTCAACAACTATAAACATATTTTGGCTAATTAATTTGGGCTAAAGTAAAGCACGTGTCTGTTGGATTTGTGTTTGGGATGCGCCTTCGAGCCCAACTACATTGTGTCACAATTTGATAAATCTGTATAATATTTTGTGTGTTTAAATGAAAAGCACGAAAAGTACTCGAAGTACACAAAATGAACGCAGCCGCAAGAGCAGCAAACGCTCCGAGAAGTCAGCAAAGTAAGCAGCAGTTGGCATAGTTTTTCCCCATTTGTTACACTTATTTTTGGTCACGGAACATCTGGAACTCGTGCCCTATATATCGATTAATATTAAAAGTCATTAAAATTTCTAATATCCATACACTTTAGCGATCGTAAAATAAACATTTCACGCCCCAAACAGAAACTAAAAATAAAGTTTATTGTTTATCATCGAGTCATGTACATTGTCCAAGTTGATTTTGCACGTTCCACACAATGTTTATCCCGCATTTCAGAGCCAATCATACTGCAAACGATTGTTTTCATACGCATCCCGCATTCATTTCACTATCAACATCGCATTTTATGAATAAAACTGCCAAGCTTTTCGCCTTGTATCGATCATACATTTATCGGCTCGATTGTGTATTCACACACGTTTCGCTCACGCATTTGCCTCCTCACTGCTGCTAGCAAGTCAAAAATAGATTCGGAAATCCAGGGCTACAACGCTGTGGTTCGTGAACGGAATCAGTTCTAGTTCACGTATTATTAGAGATGTTAGCTTTATGTGAATAGACTGGGTCGAGATTCCATATTGTTAAAGCTAGCTATACTTTGAAGTTTTATTAAAAATAATTATTATTTTATATTTATTTTAAAAAAAGTTGGTTATGAATATTGGAATCTCTAAAAAACCTGATCTAATAGTGATTTTATTTTATTTTGACTTCATGCAATGTATAATACTGATAATTGACTTAATTATTATGCATATTTCTCTAGAGTATTACATCTTCCAGAGTGCTTTTTTTTCATTATTATTTCAAAATTGTTGTTTTGATATACTTGCCAAAAAACTGTCGTGTTTCAGAAACGAGTAAATAATGAGAGCGTTAAAAATAGACTGGAAGATACCCCTTAGAACCTAAATACTGACATATTATTTCTAAGTTCATCTTTTGTCTCACAATATTTAATAGAATTGAAGAATAAGACCCGTTTATAGCTAATCTTCCGGTCAAACACATATCTATGCCATAAACCTCCCGACATATCAAGTTTTGCTCTAGTTTGTGTATAGTGCATCATATGCACCCTTGCTAGCTCGCCTACAGGGTATGAGCATGCTTGATTCGGTAGCATTTGGTCAAACAGGTCGGCAGTTTTTCAAAAATGTTCAGACCACAGTGTCAAAAATAAATTCACGCGCGCAGCTTCTTTGAAATACATAAAAAAACGTAAGTTATGGAAAATTTGCAGAGGCTTTTTATGGATCATTTGGGATTTGTGCATAGCTTTTAATTGATTTAATTTGATTGGAGCAATAATGATTCGACAAATGAAACGGAAATGATAGTCATATCGAATTAAAGTACACTCTTTAGGGCGTCGTTTCTGGGTATTTTCTATTATATACATATACAAAATTATATGCGTTTGCTACAGTAAACGTATGTGTGCTTTTGAAATCTATGTAATTTATAGTTTGTTTGCGTTTTTTCTCTAGATGAGGCCCATCACCTCCAGTTTAGTGCTTGGTTTTCTTTAAATGTTGAGTCTTTTGGTAAAATCGTATATGCGGCGCGTTCCAAGCTAAAAAATATATATCAGCGGTATATATTTATTTGTCTACGTCGCTTTTATATTATTTATTTATTCATGGCGAGTGTTGAAAGGCCACAAATACAGAGCCAGCGGAATGCCTAATAATTAGGCGAAACGCATAGCGAAACTGAATCTACCCTATTCAGTTGACCTACAGCAGTCGTTGAGACATCATCTGCCAACTCATATCTTGCATAGATAGTGATAAGATATCTTAATCATATAGCATAGACCTAAATCCTAGTTATATAGATGCACAATGCTGATCGGCCGACGTTCACAATGGCAACCCCTAACAGATGAAAGGCAATAATTAACAATTAAAATTTAAACATATATATATATAATAAAAATATGATATATTACTTTATGCAAATATTTCTAACTATTTTTATAAATTTACAGATTGGATAGAAAGTCATCACGTGGCATGATATACGAAAATGAAGAGCTCAGGTTGCGCACAATCAACATAAATGCGGAAGTCGAGCGAGGTAAATATTAATAAATATTCAAACCCCCTTAGCCCTTTATAATGTGTTTAATATACCTACAGAATTGCGTATAAGCATGTGTATATGTTTGTTTTTGAACAGAAAACGAAATAATCAAAAAGTAAAAATATAAAAAGTTCAATTAAAAAGACATTAGAAACCCAAAAAAAGATGCGTAAAACGCCAAACTAAAAAACAAAATAAAAAATATATGTACATATAGCTAGACAACAAAATCTATTCATATATTCATATATATATATATATATATATATTATTTATATATATATATATATATTATTTATATATATATATATATATATATATATATAATATATAAATATATATAGGTGCATATTTATTGTCTTCGTTGCCAAAACATAGGATAAGCGAATGTAAACATTGCGATTATAGTTGACCAACTGCTCTGATTAGCAAAGATTAAGATATATGCAAAATAATAACAAAGGATAAGCCGAAAATATGTTAAAATTTCTGTGTATAAAATAACATAAAACACGCGCCCGACACGCGCCTAAGTAAATAAAAAAATGTCCCCTTTTTGGCTGCATTCGTAAACGTTTTATGTTAAACAGTAATTGATATATGGGAAGCGTGTTATGTGAGCAACAATCATTTAATTGTTTCACATAGGCAAGTTAATTAAGATTCGTAATAAAGATAGTCCTGAAAACCATTAAAAATGAAGGCACTTAAAATAGTGGACAATATCTAAAAATTGCCATAAATATCACTCTTCTCTTTAACAGTTAAAATCATAAAATCGATATCAAGAATTGAAAGACACTTCTCATTTATCTATAAACAGATAATCGTCGCAACAAAAAAAAAATAAGTAAATTATACAAAAGTGTAGCATATTTTTTGTATAATTTTTTAAAATTAATTGTGCCCTGTACGAAACTTAGCACGCGTCTATCTCTAGTTAGTAAGCGTATCATTAGTTAAATAAATGGAATAATTTTCCAACCTATCGCTTAATTTGCAGGTCAATCGGACATCAAACGTTTGCGGCGTGAAAATGAGCATCTGCGTCGCGAGATTTGGACTTTGCGCGACGAATGCGATCGGCTGAACAAGCGCTTCAAGGCGAAGCTAAGCGAGCACGAGTACGGCGGATGTCGCGGCAGCGGTAGCAGCGGGCGTCGCTGCAGCGGCGGCAGAGGCAGCGCAGGTTGTGATGGAAACAGTGATGTGAGTTGACACCCAGCCAGCAGATACCCTGTATGTACTTAAGTTCCCACTCTCCACACACAGGACTCTGACTCATGTGATACGTGTCGCTGCGAGGACGATGGCCACTGCAGCGACGAGTGCTGCCAGGAACGTGGTTCTTGTGTATCTATCAAACAGTCGCTGCCGCCCGAGGAGACGAGCGTCAAGGCGGCTAATGATAGCACCTCGACAACTAAGCCGGAAAACCAGGCCATGCACTTTGACCATCTGTCTGTGGTTTCCGAGGAGACACTCAGCAATCCGGAAATGCAGCTGGCGCAGCAGACGCCGGAGCATCATCTCATGATTTGTACGCCCGATCTCAATAGCTCGCAGAGCACGCTGCCCAGCCTGGTGGGTCCACTTACCCCACTGACGCCCGTAGAACAGGTGGCTAATCAGCTTAACGATTTGCAGGCAATGGTGCCTCCGCTCTCCTACTTTGAGAACATATTGTCCCAGCACATGGGCGCCAATACGGGTGAGATGGTTAAGAATGTGTGCCTGAATCTTAGACTTATATATATACATATTTTTTTTTTCTATTTGCAGTGCTAACGCCTACGCCCGAGCTGGGCACCAGCTCCAGCACGACCACCGGCAATACCATGAAGCATACCAATGGCTGGGATTACAATTTGCAGTCGCCGTTCTCGCAGCGCAAATACTCGAATACATCGTCGCCCTCACGCTCACCGCCGCCGCCGCTGACCACCTTTGTGCCTACAAGCACGCTGCAGGCCATGCCCAAGATAGCGCTGAATGCGCCAACCACAAACGGAGCTGTCGGCGGCATCATTGAGACCGTTGCCATAACCACAAACGCCACGCAGCAAGCGCTCAATAGCCCGAAGCACTTCTTTGCTCCCATTAAGCCGCGCCTCAAGCTCAACACGGAGCTCGCCAATCGGGGACAGGATGCACTGCCGCCGGGCTCGCCGCCGCCGCCGCTAGAGCCGGCAACGCCGCTGCGTGAGCCCCCGGATATATTTGTCAATAATGCGCTAGCCTCGCCGTATAAGCGGCCCGGCCCCCGGCTCTCACCACAAGTAAGTCCGCGTCATCGCACGCGCTCCCATTGCCAGCTGCACCACAGCCAGCCCTGCCAGGCGCACGCCCACCAGCAACGCCAGCGCCATGGCCAGCAGCTACCACCAACGCTCACGCAACAGCAACAGCAGCTGCCGCCGCAGTCTTGCTCGCTGCATCGGGCGGTGGTCAATGTGGCCGCTGCCGTCGGCTTGGGCGTTGGCGGTGCTGAGGCGAACGCCTGCGGCGACAGCGTGGTTGACATATATACCGCCGCGCTAGCCGCTGCTGCTTCGGCTGCCGCTGCCCAAGCAGCATCAGCGTCAGCACCCCCAACTCCGCTGCCCTTGACCCGCTCCGTGGAGCCAGTCTATGCGACCGCACAAAAAGGCTGCCACAGCAGCTGCATATCGGCCACTGCCCTGACCAAGCCCGTGATGACCGCCACCACGAACACCACAAAGACAACCGCATCGCCGCTGCGTCAGCCCGCAAAGCTTACCGCTTGTGCAGCCAGCTGCAAGCCAAATCCCGCGGTGGTCTCCATCGTGGATATTGGCAGTCAGGTGAGAGGGGATCTGCCATGGATCATCAACCAGTCATCGGCTTGTAATGCTCCCCTCGTTTCATCGTTTCTAGAGTTTCATTTCTTTCAGCCAAGTCCGTATATTTATATATGTTTATACCCCAGTAATTGATGTGTAATGGGATAACAGGATTTAAATTAAAATTCTCTTAAATCCTGTTATCCTATTTTTATTTTCGGTTTTTGTCTACTATATTTAAGCAACAGATATTCCCCATGATTAGTGTCTAGAATTTCACAATTATTTTTCATTTTGAGTTGAGAACATATATGCTTATACCCTTTTTGAGGGTATTATAATTTTTTCATTAAATGTGTAACTGCAAAATAAGCTATTTAATCTTCGGCGCGGCGTACAATTCGAACTCTATATAACTTGATCAATTCTTTTAATCTATACGTCTGAAGAGTATTTGGTTTGAAAAACCTTAATTTTATTTATATGTTCAATGTCTATAAATAAATATATCCAAGCTTTTTGTAAATAGATTTTAGACCCGTATTTTATACCCTCATAAATGTTATTGAATTTTATATAGTACTCGAAAATTAAATTCGATTTAATTTGTCGGATTCTGTTTTATGCTTATAAGGATATAATACCCCATTCTATAAGAAAGATAGAAAGCTTTGAATGTTTACTGCCCACATTTATTAGAGTTTTTGGTGTCATCTATTGGAGCGGATCGGAATGCTTACAAATCAATATAAATTATTTATTATTATATCATAATCCCCGCCTCAAATGGCCCACCCAAAGCGCTCTAGTTAAATGTTGTACAACAATTACATATTAAAAGCCCAGTAATTAATTTATTTAATTATCATTTTTCCCCCAGACGGATTCAGTAAACTTGGAGTCTTTGCTAAACGACATACAGACAATTTCGGGCGACATTCTGGCCATACAGCTGGAGAAAAGTAAATCGCGGGATAATCTCATAAATGGCAACAACGACAAGGACAAAAGTAAACCGTATCGCTCCGAGATGAATCTCTATTTGCAATACGACGGCGCAAATCCGACCATTTCGAATGCAGCAACTACCACTGTGGCTGCCAGCAACGCCTCCGACTCGAGCAGCAGCCACAAGCTCTCGAGTCGCACACGCTCGCTAGAGCGCGAGCACACGGACAGTCCGGCGCCGCATATGCCGGATCCCATGGCGCCATTTCCGGAAAAGTGCAGTTATCTGGGCTTCGAGCAGCTCAATAATCAGGCTGCCGCCGTGAAGCACTCCCTATCTGGCCAAAAGCCGCCTGTGGGCGTTAAGCCTAGTCTGCCTGCCAAGCCGCCACCGCCGCTGCCACCGGCGCGACGTCCGGCCGTGCCCACAGAGCCACCACCAGAACCGCCGGCTGGATTGTCGCCGAACAAAAGCCATCTGTACAAATCGCTGGCCACGGCGGCGGCCAAAAGAGCCGTCTTTCGCTCGACGCCAACGGAACTGACGCGTTCTCTGGATGTGGAGTGCACAGGCGGCGAGCCAGCTGATCCTGCGGCAGCCAACGAGGTGGGTTCAGCTTTTAGTCTGTGTCCTTTGATGCTACACGAATTTTTTTTCTTTGCGCCAGGAGGAGGATGAGGAGGCGGCCAAGCGCAAGGCGCGCCGCGTCTCCATTGTTTGTGGCGAGGAGCAGCCCGTGGCAAATGGTGTTGCACCCACTGCGCCTACAGCAACAGCCAGCTGTGGCGACTTGACCAGCGCCGCGGCCAGCGTACTCATCCATCCCAGCATTAAGGCCTTCAGGCAGATAAGCCACAGTACGCCCAGTTCTCCACATTCCTCGCGCCGGCGCACCAACAGCAACACAATGACAGCGGGGCATGGTGAGGTGTCGGCCACAGCCTCAGCACCGCCCAGCACCACACACCATCATCATCACAGGAAGGAGAGCAGCGATCCGGCGCCCATGACGGCCACAGTCAGCCGCACAAAATGCTCGCGTCGCCACTCGGAGGGCACCGTGCACAGTGTGCATCGCATTAGCAACTCGAGCGGAGGTGGTGGTGGTCATCATCACCATCACACGCATCACCATCAGCACAGCAGCCTGATCAGCAGCAATCCGCATCATAGCCACCATTCCCATCAGGACAGCAACCATGAGACGGTCACCTCCCAATCCGATCGCAACTCGAATAGTTTTGGATCCTCGCGCGAATCTTCGACCAGCTTCAGCATGCGTTCCAATCGGCGCAAGATCTCGATAAGCTCACATACGGGCGGCAAGATACCCTGGTGCGGCTGCTGGGGCAATGGGTGTCTCTAAAGCGGGGCTTCTGACTGTACTTAAATTTAGGGCATGCTTTAAGCATTATCGACAGTAGCTTGCCGTTTGCCGTCCTACGACCAAAAGGAAACCATATTTTTAAACCCACCCGCATGTTTGTGTATGGTATTAGCTAGTCTTAAAGGAAACACCAGGAAGTACGCCCATTTGAACCAATTTTCATTTAAAAAAGCATTTTTCAAAAAAAATCGTCAAGTACAAAATGAGTTAAAACACAATTCAATGCGGTTCAGTTCTAGGTTAACGACTAAAGATTAATGTTTTAACGTAGCCTAATTAAATAATTCCGTTCCGTTCGAAATTGTATGCAATTAACTAAGTTAATACTTATATTCGATTGTATATAATCTGTCAGGCGAGTATTTCAATTGTATGTAGTGTATTACAGAAATTATTTGTAAAATAATTCATTATTGTTGTTCAATTCGGATAAACATAAATATAATAGTCAAATGTCTAAACTATACTTGGTATTTTATCGTTTGGAAACTCGGGGCAAATAGCTAAGTTAGCGAACTGATAAACTTTACCAGCAACTGGCAAGTTCCTGTTAAACTAGAGATGAAGAAAATAGCTGATAAACTTATCGAGCAAACACAAAATTATATCTTTATTATTTCTCAGATAAAATTTGGTATATTTACAGCAATTTAAAAGAAAATTTACATTTGCATTCGCTGAATTCGTATAGCCGACAGTTAAACAATTTCCACATGGCAGAAAATAAGTTACAAAGAGAGCTAGCAAAGGCAAAATAAAGACGAAGACAAGCGCAAATGCAACTGAAATTGCGCAACAAGCGAGAATACTCATATATAATATGCAAATTAGCTGCAAATTAAGGTGTAAAAATGCATGACACACAAACGCCTCTAGGAAGTGCACAAAACAAATTAAATTTTGCCATGGAGCTGCACAAATTGCCCTGGCGAAAAAACAGATATGCAAAAAATATTAAAAATTGCAGCGACACAAAAAAGAGAAAAGTGGTGTCAAAAAAGTATAAAATATGTGAAAGACAGACGAGAAAGCTGACAGAACCGAAATGGGTCGACTTTATTAAAATAATTATGCACAAGCGCAGGCGAGTCTGAGGCTCCAAACCGAAACCACTTTCTCGAATGAATTGGCTTTAATGACAGCTCAGTCTTATAATTAGGTATTTATTAGTCTACTGTGCTACAATAAAGACAATAAATGATCAACCGCCGAAAAGCGATTTCACGACATGTAGCATCTGCATTTTAATTAATGACTCTCTGTGTTGCCAGCTAGCCGGCCGCTTGATTTTATTGAGTTCTTTATTTTGACCAATATTGTTTTGTTCTTCTTCTTTTCTCGACAAATACCAGATGCAAAAGCCATTAATGCTGCTCAGATGGGTTATAAATTTGTGAACATTATGTGCCGTTTACATCGATTCCTTTTGCCATTTGGCATTGAAATTGGATTCATGAGCGAACAATTGATTCATTGTCATTTTGACAGTCTCTTAGCTTAGCTATATAAAGAGGGTAGCATGAGACCTCGCTGAGAGGTGTGTAGTCAGGAGGCTCAAGAGAAGATCGTTCAAGGTCCTTCTCCAACCACGACATAGGAGACGCCCCAGAGTCTCCCGACTACCTACGTGACCATGCAGCCTAATTCAAAAAAGCCGCCTTTGACGTTTGTCCACGATAAAGCCAGGCTTGTAATAAAAATGTATGCTATTTTTGAGTCAATACAATAAACTTTTTTAAAAAAAAATATATAAAAAAATATAGGTAAATATACCTCAACTTGAGAAGGTATTTAAAACGATATAAATTAATATAAAACAAGTAAGAGGTTCTAGTTGGGAGCTCCCGACTAGGGGATACCCTGAACCCTCTTCTTCCAACACCAAATGATTTAGTAGTAATAGAGAAAAATGAAATTAAAAAAAAAAAATTGTTCCCTTGGCAGGGTTCGAACTCGCAACTAACCGCACCACTTGCCGCTGCCTCTACTCAAGGGCAACACCAATAATTTAGCTTTAATAAGAAAAAAAAATCAATTAAAATAGCAGCATAGAAAACCATACAATCGCAATTGCAATGCTGTTGATAGAATTTAAGGCAAGCACGCATGAATGTGTGTGTCTGTACTACATGTATACAGAAATTCTTAAAATTTGCGCAGCAGCTATGCTGCTAACACGTGCGCACATAACTTTTGTGTTTCTAAACCGATCTTAATGAAATTTTCGACAGTACATCTTATTGTAGAATACAATAAAGAAGTGTATTCTCAAAAATGCAGTTGCATATAATTCGTGGCTAAAATTGATGTGCAATACAAGTTGAATAATTAACTTGATTTATAGCTTTTCGGTGGTAGCGGGGAGGTGGCGAAAGGTATAAAATGAAAGATACTTGATATATATATATATATATACTATTCTAGAAGCTACTTATCAAGTTTGGTGACTCTAGCGCATATTATTTGCCGAAATTGCTCAAAAAACAGGATTTCGATATCGATTTTGAATGATTACTTGGAAACGGGGCAAGTTATCGAATATCGGAAACAAACTCGATCTGCGCGGGCACTAGGAGGAAATACAGCCAAAATTTCAAGTCTCCTGGTCTTATAGGTTCTGATATCCTTGCGTTCATACATACGGACAGACGGACAGACGGACGGACGGACGGACAGACAGACGGACATGGCTAGATCGACTCGGCTATTGATGCTGATCAAGAATATATACAAATACATAATACCCTTTTTACCCATTTTCAATGGGTTCAGGTTATAGTTATTATAATATTTAAGTCAGTATATTAAGCAAATATTTTATTCTAAAGGCAGTTAGGTATTTAATGATTTTATTTTATTTTCAAATAATCGATTATTTTATTATTTATTTATTATTTTATTATTTTAATCTAAAATATTATTATTAAGAAATTAGTATTATATTTTGTATGAAATATATTTTTATTATTTATTTTACTTTTCAAAACGTTATTTATTTACAAATTCGTTTTAATATTTATAACTTATAACTTATACTTTACTTTTTATTCGATTTTTTATTCGACTCCAGTCCCTAACTAAACACTTTCAAAAATTTCTTATAGCATGCCACCGACTCTTTCTTATTTATTTAAGCACGCAACTTAAGCGCTTTTTAATATCTCATTTTAGTACGCTGAACCAAAGAGATAAAAAGTATTTAAATACACACACACTCATGCATACATTCATACATACAAGTATATGAATGCGGCTATATATATACCTTCTAAATAAACTGACGACACCATTCAAAAAGTCGCAAGGCAAGTGCTCGCATCATTTGCGTTTAAGTAATTGCTTCGAGTGTTATAAACAGTCGCGAATGTTTTGCGGCTGTATAAGAGGAGCATTGAGTGCTTGTATGTGTGCGTTTGTGTAGAAGTAGGGGGTGTGGTGGGTGTAGGGGGGTGTGGAGGGGCTGGCTGGCAATTTATATGTAAATACACGAGCAGGTGCCCAGTGCCAAATGTGATGGCATTTGTGCGGGCTCTGCCTTTGGTGTTAAAATGATTTATGCGCCTGGCATACGCGGCGTATGCGTATTTTATGATTTCTCTGAATGCTGACGAGGCGTGCCCTGGCGCCTTATGCCAATGAGCAGTGTCTGCACACACACATACACTCGCACGCTCGCTCTTAATCAAGGCGTATTTTAGACAAACACACTCACACATACACATACACACACACACACACACACGCACACAGTCGCGCCTGCTTACAGACAAAGCCATGTCTACGGCTTTTATTACCATAAATTCTCTTGGCTTCAGCCGACGGCGACAACTTTGTCATCAATCGCTATATGGCTTTATTCTTTATTATTTCAACTGCCGGTTGTTGTTGTTGTTGTTGTTGCTGCTGCTGCTGCCGCTGCTGTTATTGTTGTTGTCAGCGCTTTGACGTATTAACAATTTGTCAAGCCGAATTAGACGGCGGCAGCAGGCTCCGTCGCGTAAAAATCAATGCACAGGCAACTAATTACTTGGCAAAGCTGCTCGACATGCACGCACACACACATTTACACACTCACAGACTCACAAACATACTGCTACTCCCAGTTGACTTGCTGATTACTTTGGCTGCAGCAGATGAGCTCCTGCCCTGCTGCAGTTGCAGTTTTGCTGCGCATTAACTGAGTGGACAGGCCACACAGCTGCACAGCTGGATCTGCTGAATATTACAAGTAGCAACTGATGATGTCCCAGTTGGCACCCTTGGACAACTACATATACACACCCACACACACCCTCACCCACACACGTACACACTCTCTATGTGGGCAACAGCTGCTGTTTGTTGCAGCATCTGCACTTTTCCAGCCAAACACTCACTTTGATCATTTCTCATTTCAGTCGTTGACACATGAGTCGCCAGCCTTCTGCCACGCCTCCAGCAGCTGGCTCCATGTGGCATTGTTTGGACTTGCGTGATATTTTTATTAAGAAATATATCAAATGCACATAATACACATGGCCCTGGTCGACTCATATGATGCAGACACGTTTGCGGTTCACAAAAGCTTACGCTTAAATGACAGACTGGCATTATTAAAACAAACAATTTACTTTAGAAGTTTGTTTTATATGGCAAATCGAGCTTTAAAATGCGCATATGAAAGTCACAAGCACAGGCAAACATTCAAAGTGTTATAAAATATCTGGCAAGCTAACATTGCAGCTTTAGTTACCAAATTTGGTATATAGGTTCCCCTAATCCGCTTATAAATGTAAGATCTTGGGTAATATCCTTCACTAGTTTCTTAGAAAACTATGAAAACAAAAACGTGCTTTAAATCTGTACAAATGCAATCAATAAGCAGAGATAGAGAGAGAGATACAGAAAGAGACAAATAAATTGAGAGAGCTTTAAATTGTCCATACTAACCCAAGGAACTCAGCAACTGCACAAGCTATAACTGAAATATTTTGTGCGGAGCTTCCTTTACACCTCTTTTAAATATATTTTAAGTCTCTCACATTTTCAAGTTCCCTAGCAAATTGTTTCAGAGGAACCAACCACAATTATCAAGTTGGGCTATTGAAATTGGGTATGCGTATATTTTAACATATTATCTCATCAATTTCAAGCATAGGCAACTATTTCGTACTCATCTGCATAAACCAAATCGGATTTTACGAAAATGCACCACATTTAAATCTTAAATCTCTCCCTTTGGCACTTTATGCCATCAGCTCAAAGTTCACTTAAAGTTCCTATTGCATGCCACTCATACAATAAGTGAAATCTAATTTATTCATACAAATCTCTGTGTTGCCAGACGGCAGCGCCAAAAAGGAAGACCTACGGTTAAGTGACCTTTCGTGGGGCTCGGCCCGAAACTGGGCCAGAGTCAGAGCCAGAGCTGGAGCCAGAGCCCAATGCTGCATTGTAGTTAAGAGTGAGTGAACACCATTTATAAATTTGCATAATCGCGTGAAGCTTATTTGTTCAAACGTAGCTGAGCAAAACAAAATGTCACAAATTACACGCTCCAATGACGGCGTTGCCGGATTGCAAAAAGGTCAACGTGCAGGATATGTGCGAATGTGCGAATGTGTGTGCCTGAGCCCGGAGGGGGGTGGGCACTGCCCCAAGCGGGTTTCGCAGGCATTTTGAGTAATTTGCATTTAACATGCGCGACATGAAAACCAAATAAACAACGTCTTGCAAAACCGCCCAACACCCAGGCCACCCCAGCCCCCCTGCTGGCCCTAAAGCTGAGTGGCAATTTGTCAAACAGCTAACTGGCCTGGCCAACCACTCGCCATTCACTTAGTTGATTTGTTGCACTCGTTTTTCGTCACAGCTAAACGCCTTAAATGCGATTTGATATGTGGCCCATGTGGCATGCGGCAAAAGCAGCCAGAAAGCGACCATTTCCGCTTGGCTGCCATGTCGTATTCTTAATCTGTAAGCCAGCGTCAAAGGCTCTAATAACTATCCTTGCACTAGTTATGAGAGTCGAGTTTTCTTTTTTGTTTATCGAGCAGCAGCTACAAAGTTTATTGAACTATCTCCAGCAAATTAACATAATTTGGCCATGGACAGGACCTTTGGCAGCATTATCCTTCAGCAAATTGTTGAAAACTTTTCTGTGCGTAGCGCAGCTGCAAGTCAATAAGCTGTGCAAAAACTTTTGCCCACATGATCAATATATCTATGTGTATATATACATATATATCAAAATCTGATTAATATTTATATGTGTGGGTGGTCTTAAAGGCTAGCGACAGGATAAACAAGGACATGTAATACTACGACTACAATATCAATAAACCAAATGCCAGCACGCCGGACACATTTATGATTTATTGTGTGTTTGGTCAGCGGTCATCGGGGTCTATGTCCTGCTGCTGATGCTCCTGCTGCTGCTTAAACACATTTCTATTGCATATTTCACCTATGACCAGGCGCCATGCTCCATTAAATCTTTTGCGACACATTCAATGAGCCCCATAACGTGCGCCCTAATACCTTTCACATGTGAGTGTGTGACCAACATTTTCAGCAACTGCCGCCACACCCACCGAAAAATCTCTCCCTCTGCAATAATCGCTTGACCAGCGGCCGCTGTGGACATGTGGCGCAAACAAGCGCTTGGCACTAATATCCCTTTGTTTATAAATGTTCTAATGGCTGGCAAAATTATATTTTTCTCTACTGCAGCCCACTAGCCAAACGAGCTGCTGCCGAAAGCGCCGAAAAGACCACAGCCCGAGCCGCATCCGCAGCCATGGAGCCAAGGGACACACAGTGCAAGCGGCTCGCCTGTCGCTGTTCCAGTGATAAATTGATTGGAGGCCCCACGCACACACACACACACCCATACACGGAGAGAGCCTGCCTGCATAGCCAACATTCATATTGGCGGTCAGGCGTAGTTTACTCCGCTGTCAAGCGCTGGCATGTTGCGTGGCTATTTAGCCAATTTATGGTTAAGGTTAGTAGCACGACAGCGGTCAAAGGATAATAGTCCACGTCCTGCACAGGACACAACTCGATGCCCGTGCTACATCGAAGATGCCATAGACTTAGCTATGGGTCGTGCTTTGAGTTGGTTTTGTCTTTGACCCGGACTCGAATTGTTTGTACAAGATCAAATTGCAGGAGCCCTAGTGTGTGTGGGTCATGTTAACGGGCATATTATATTCCGTTTTATGTACCTACATCAAGCATGCAGCCAGCCCAAACAGCAACACTGCAAGAAATAAGCCAGACGAATGTATATACAAGTTTAGTTATATTTTAAAACTTTTACGGGCTTCACGCATTATATAAATTTTTTATTAATATTTTTTTTCACGTATTTCCCCTTTTTTTGCAGTGTATCTAACACAAACATCCTAATATATTATGAATATATTTTTCCAGGCAGTCAGTTTTGCCTCACAATGCGCCTCGTTTCGCATTGCTGTTTGCTTTTTCGTTTATGCTAAATTATAATAAATGTCATTGTACACGTTCCGAAAGACCTGATGCCACATTGAGTATTAATTTATGGTGTGAAACTTTCACCGGGCAAACAGCTCTCTACTGCTCTCTCTCGCATTCTCTCTCTCTGGCCACTGTGCCTGTCGTCTGCCCAAGGTAAATATCCTTTTATGTCTTGCTACACATATGCCATCTAAATTACTAACGAGCTTCTGGGGCTTTCCTTCCATAGAGTGTGTTCATTGTGGAGCCAAACTTAATAAGACAGGTCAAGTAACTCACATACATTTAATCTATTCGCAATAATCAATAGCTCAGATCAAATTATTATAGTGAAAACCTAGGCAGAAGCTTAAAAGCAGGAGCGAGAAGCGACTAGAAAAGTGAGAAAGCTTTCAAATGTTTCTAATGCCAATTTAATAATTGATCCTAAATTATCAGTAGGCCTCACTTTCATCGTTTGAGCCTTAATATAAACATGCAACTTATCTTAATGCTTCTTCCTTTTCCGATAAAGTAACTTATATTATTTAACATATCCATAATATTCCATTTTTCGGACTATGATAAATTGACTTTGATAGACAAATAACACTTATGGAGACAAAGCGACTCGAGAAGTTAAGGTCTTATTTCTAAGGCCTTTTGCCTACTTATATAATTAATTAAAAATGATAAACGTTCCACTTCTCTTAATGCTTCTTTCTTTACGGGCTTAAACCTTAATAAATTGTAATCTATTCATAATAATCAAAATTCACAATATGACGAAATAATTTTGCTACACAAACAACATTTTTGAAAGACAACCTACTTAGATAAGTGAGAAACAACTAGAGAAGTGAAAAGCTTAATAAAGTTTCTAAGGTCTTTTTCCTAGTAAGTGCTCGTTAATTGTCAGCATCACCTTTAGCGTTAGGACCTGCAAAAATATGAACTTATCACTTCTCTTATTGCTTCTTTCTTGTCCGGTATTAAACTTAAATAAATTAAATGCGTTCATAATATTCAATAGTTCATTGATTGTGACGAAATAATTGCCAACCAAACCAAATTGTTTAAGGTCGACCTAGTCGGAGGCTTAGCATAACAGAGCGAGAAGCGACTAGAAAAGCAAAAAGCATTACAAAAAAATGCCTATATTTATAAATTTGTAGGAAATGCATTTCTACATGTTTTTATGGCCACAAATCTAGCGATGTACTCTAACTCTAGCTAGCAATTGCGGACAGAACCTTAACATATTTTTTTCATGAATGCAATCCCACAAACTACGTGCCAGTTGGCAGCGGATTGAGGGCGCATAATGTACGAGTTTATTTATAAATATTTTAATGAAAGTGTCATATTTTCTCTGATTTATTTATTTTTTTTTTATTAATATTACTGCTGTCAAAATCAGCGCTGAATGGCAACCACTCGTAGCGGGCATTTCCGACACGAGCAAATGGAAATGGGGGTGTGCGGGGGTGTGTGTTTTCCGCCTGATTACTCGCATAATATGCCTCATTAAAAATAATAAACTGTCAGGAAAATGAAGGCGAATGCCAAATGATTTTCGTTTATAATTTCTTTTTTTTCAGTTGGTAAATTTGAATTTTTGTAAAATTAATTGCGCGAAGTGTGCAATGTGCAAAATATAAAATAAACTTTCATCTTTTCGGTTGAGAGCCGCAACAGAACTCACTGCGAACAATTTCGCTTACTAACTGTATCCTTGAAATGCATATCTGCCATTTTGTACACAAAAAGCATGCCTGCTGTCACCCATGAATATGAATATATATATATATAATAAACATTATTGTGTGTGTGAGTTTTTGTTGGTTCTAAATGCGGTTTCTCAGTCTCTTTTCTCTGTTCATTTTTTATTTCTTTGCTTCTTTTTTACATTTTTGCAAGTGCAGTAATGGTTCATGAGGCGTCTGGGGCGGGGTGTTGGTATTTATGGTAGCAGAAAAGGCCATAAACTGAACAAAAAACATATTCCTACAACCACAGGTTGTGTGTGCATGTGTGTGTGCGTATTGGTGTGTGTGTGTGTGTGTGTGACTGTGTGAGTGGGTGTCAGCTAAGCGGCATTTGGGGACTGCAGCTAAAATGTACAAAAGCTTAGATTTCATAAACTGGGCCTCCTGCTAGCGATGATAGCTAAAGTCTACGCTTAGCGATAGTTTTTATTAATTCTTATAATAAAAATATAAATGTAATGCAGAAAAGCCTCATATTGCTCTTATTTTTATTCGCGTCCCTCGGCGATTATTAAGCCTTAGTTAAGAATACAGTCCCCAATTAAAATTTGTGACAGCTCAATGCTTCAAAACTTGACGAATGTGATAGAATCACAGCTATAAAAATATAAATTAATAAATACTCAAAATAATATTTGTGCAGCATATCGTTGTATTTCTGGGCCCCTCTCTGCGATTCTCAAATACTAAAGCAAGAATAATTTCAATGAACATAAAACTGTCTTTTTAAAGCTAACGAAACTTTTTGCGTTAGCAATTTCGCTTTGAGTACAAACCTTCTCTGGGATTCTCAAGCTTACCTGTGAATGCATAATTTTCGAATTGCCTATCACAACTCTTTTATGGCTTTTCCGACTGCTAGTTGGCAATGTCTTTGCGGAAGCATTGAAATTGAAACTGGAAATTCAAATACGGTTAGCCACAGTCCACATAACTGAAATCATCGTCTTGATGTCCGCCTTCATGGCTCCCAAACACACGCACACACAGAGAGAGGTAGAAATAGAGACAATGCAGTGGGATTGGATGACCATGGTCCACATGCACGCAGGGTAGGCGTTCTCATGCTGCTGCTAAGACTGCGGCTGCTGCGCATTTGTTTGCAGCAGAAATTAAAATGTTTACACAACCGAATGCCGACGACGTTTTGCATTCATGTTGTCCTCATCGTTGCTGTTGTTGTTGTTGCTCTTGTTGTTGTTGCTTCTTCATGTTCTCCAGTGCATGTCCTTTAACAACATTGTGCTGCTTGTGGCAGCTGCTGCTGAGGTGTTGCTGTCGTCAGTTAGTGCACGACTTGAATTCTATTTAACTCTTGGCGCTAGGCATTTGCATGCAAGTTATGTGCATAACATATACGTACATAAAATGTCACTCGTTTTTCCTTAGTTTTCATTTAAATGTTGTGCGTATTGAAAAACACATAAAGCACGCCATTCAGCGCAATTACAGTGCCGTCAAGGACCTCCAGCTAAAGATGAGCTGCAAAACTCTAGTTCTCGTGTGTACGAACTTTAAAGTCAGGTAACAGGAAAAGCTATGTTGATAAACACGACTTTTCCGAGTTTTCCCGATGCAAAATAGCCGACAAATAGATATTAAAGAGCGGATGTGAAACAGATATTGAAATGGAAAAATATAATAAAATAAAACCAAATCCCGACTTTTCATTTGATTTATTTTGGAAAGAAGCGAATATTTGAAAACTTCTCCAGACATTGGCCGAGAAAATAGTTAGACTCTGCGACTAGCCATTGGGTGACTTATTTTTTAACATCAGGCAACATGCTTAATGTTATATTTTTCCAAATAAAAAGCTATTTGTCGTATTAAATATATTGTGAATAACTTATGTTAACTCAGCATGAAAATGAAACTCAAAAAACACAAAAGTTATTCTCGACTTTGTGCGATTGGGCTGGGTATATTTTTCACGTGCATGATTGCAAAACTTATCTTCGTGTTCGTGTTGAGCCGTGCCATAAAAACGCCTGCCTCGCCCATCCCTTGAGAACTCTTCTACCAACTGCCCGAAAGCCTCTCGTTTATTTCGCGTGAGCAGCTTATTCATTCGCTTTGCTTAAGCCGCAGCACTTGGCTGCCGCTGCTCCTGTTCCTGCTGCTGCCACAGTGTGGCAACTGCGGCGAACGCAACTTAACACCGTTTTAATCTGCCATTTGGCAATGCAACGATTTTCACTTCCGGCCAGTACAGGACGACTGGACGGCACTTGAGTCAAGGTGCTGCCGGGTAAATACTCGTTACATGATTGCCGGCAACTTCTTAGCGCCAGTTTTATTCGGTCTTGGCTAAAGTGCAGCTGAATATTTTATGAACTTGGCAAGCACTTCGTCTTTGGTTGGACATGCTGGCCAAGCCAGGAAACCAGCAAACCAGGAAACCAGCAGCATACCACAGCCTCAGGCTGTCAAGTAACTAACACAGCAACAACAACAAAAAACAAAACTAAAACTCCAAGCAAAAAAAAAAAAGGAGGGAAAGGTTGAAATAGAAATCAAGAAATTGCGACAGATTTCAGCCTGAGCGCTTCGTAAAGTTGTCTTCAACTATTTAGACGTACATACATATGTCATTTCCACTAAATAAATACAAATTACGAGCTACGAGCACACATTTGGGTTGGTCCAACCATAATGTACTGCAGTCATGTATAAAGGTTTAATATCTCAAATGGAATGCCAGTGCACAACTAATGCACATTTCTCTTAGGTATATCCAACATTTAAACATTCAACTTGGTCCACTTCAAGTCTTAATAGAAAGCCATGAAGACCAACTCGATGCATGTTTTCAATATTTAATAAAAAATTGCATTCAAGTATTTTCCACATGAATATTTTTTCGATCATTTTAATAAGCTATTGGGGAATCAATTTATTCCCGTGTTTATAAAGCGGAATACACCTTATCACAACTTTGTATACATATTTTACTAGCTGCAAATCTTATTTGAATACAATACAAATGCAATGGAAACCGAGTCTCAAATATACGCAGCAGCGAACAATTCACTATTTTGCATTTAAATAGGTTTGCACAAATCGCCAGAGTACGACTTTAAGCTACCCTTTACGCAGCTGCTATATTTAAAGTACAGACATTCGCATTGGCTTGAAATAAATTAACAAAAAAGAAGAGATAATTGTTATATAAAGTACATTGACTTCCGTCTATAGCTTGATCCCTTAACTTTGTGCCCATGCATAGCGCACTACGCTACGCAAGCAATTGCATCTCAGAAATATTTCCAGCATAAAATAATCGAAAAATAGAGCAAATAAACAAAAAATTTAAATTCACTTTACGAGCTGGGCGGACTTGTACCCCCGCAAGTTCTTCTCTGATTACAGGGTATTTCAAGTAAGCTTATTTCGTTGTAAGCTCAACCAAAATATGCTTAAAGAATTCGAAAAATATATTTCGACGCTTATTTTATAAAAAAATGAAAGAAGAGAAAAGCATTTTATTTGTATTTGCTAAATTCTAGAAAATCGGGCACCCTTAAAATTTACTTAGGTACTTTCTTACTTGATTGTTAAGTATTTACTATTGTGCATTTTTGATTGTACACTCATTTTGCGCTTTGCTGGGTTTTTGAGATTTAATTACGTCAACACATTTTGGCCAATTTCATGAATTCTTGTGCATTCCTGCAGCCGCTCAGGTGAACGCGGCAGCAGGTCGAAGGGGCAGGAGGCACACTCCCATGGGCCAGAAAATAAACCAGAATGTAAGCGAGGCACACAAATAAAGGGCCAAAACATATTTCTTAAATTTTGGTGCCCAGTTTGGCCAAGTTTCTGTTTCTGTTTCTGTTTCAGTTTCGGTTTCGGTCTGAGATTTCATTTTTGGGGTGATTTATATGAAATTCGTTTCTGGAGTTGCTCCGCTTATTTGTCTTTGTTTTGCGGCTGACTTCTGCCAGTTGGTCTCTGCGATTCCTTCGCCATTTCGTTTATTTTCATTTTCGTTTTCGTTATGGCCGCCAATTGAATTTGCTTTTATTGCATTTATTGTGGCTTGTAGACCGTCTGCTTATTGTTAGTAGCTCTCAAGAGCTCTGCCAGGCTCTGGATCTTTGGCATTCGTGGCTCCGCGTTCGACTGGGCCAGTACATTATCTCTAAATAATTTATGTTTGTATACGTTTTAATTTAATTTATTTGTACATGCAGACTATTTGTTTTCTCTTTGGCTTCTTTTTCAATTCCTTGTCCTGCGTCTCGTTTTTGGCCAGCAAACTAACCGCCAACGTATTCAATAAGTTCCTGATATGCGCCTGCCACACACTCCCTCCCTTCTCCCACTCTCTCTGTTGTCAGTGTCTGTGATTGTGCTAAAATCCAATATTGATTGAATAACCGCAGCATTCGCTCCAGCTCCATCTCCAGCCAAAAAGTATGATATCGTAAAAGGCCGAGTAATTGCTTATATTATACGAGTTTTTATGAAGATTGTTTCTTTTGTATTTCGTATACTTCTTTTTTGAATTGCACATTCGGGACTTTCCCTTACATTTAAGAGTCATAAAAAAAGCCCATTTTGTACGCAATAAATCTGGCGTTGAACTTTACAAACCCAAAAACGCACTTGACAAACAGGAAACTATTTTGCGAGGCAAAAATTCGTCTACCTATAATCTTTCCATCAGCTTGATGAATTTCCCGAACTCACACATATTCAAGCCAAACTCCTTCAAATAACAAGCTACAAAAGAACTCAAGCATTGCAGCTTTCCTCAACTTCGGGAGCTCGATCCCAAGATTTATATACTGCGTAAAAGTTCTATAACTTTAATTCCTTTATCTCCATAAAATCTTTAACCAATTAAACAAATTGAATATAATAAGAAATATTTAACCTCTCCCTAAGGAGCTAAGAAAGTTCCTCCACTTGTTTATTCTCGCAACCCTCCCGCGTTATAGAAAGCAACTCCACCTTGCCTTGGCCCGCAATATCTGTGAATGCACAGTTATCATAAGTTAAGGTGCCTTGATCGCTTTCCACAAAGTCCACAATCATTCGCAGCAAATTTTTCGATATGATTTTCTCATCCGCGCGCAGCGTTGGATGCTGCGAATTGTTGACGATGAGAAAGAGATCATCGCAATGTACTGTGCCTGTAATGCAATTTCCGGTTAGTTAGGCATAAGATGCTAAATATATTAGTTTGGTACCCAAAAAAACATCCTTCCGCCGGGACTGCCAGTGTCCTATGCCCGAATCAGCTGGATTGTCGTAGACGTAGGAGTAGAGCGGACTTTGGCTGTGCTGGCGTTGCAAATCGAGAACTCTCTGAACGCTATTCTTGAACAAAAGATCCGTGAACATGCGCTGCATATCCCAATAACTGTCCGAGCTGAAGTCACGATCTCCCAGATACTGCCGCTTTAGTTCCTGAGAGCGCAAATTGAGTTCCTCCAAAGTGTTCTTTGTGTGGCGATAGAATAAGAGATCTGGTGCCAATTCGTTCCAGCGCGTGTTCAACACCTCGATAAGCTCCTTGCCATTGTCCTGTTTATCCAGGAAGAGCGCTGCATTAAAGCCCCCCTCATTGGCAGTACAAGACAGCAGCCAAGGAATGTGCGAATAGCTGCCGCTCGCCATAATCTCCGCGGGCTGTTGGGTGAGAAAAGGCTCCGGCGTGTTGGCAGCCTCCACAACAGGTCCAAAGGGCGCGAAGGGCACATAGCCAAAGACCAGAAAGTGTGGCACAGCGCTGACAATATCCTTCGCATCCTTGGCTTGCAGGCACTGCTTCAGCTCCACGGAGTTTCCCGCCACTTTGCAGTCCAAAACATAACCTAGCTCAAAGGCCTTTTGGCGTTCATAATGCTGTTGCGCCCAGGGATCCAACGCATTGCCACTTAGTGAAGCCGCCGCCTTAATCAAACCCTCTAGACCGCCATGCAATAGTTGTAAATGCACCGAAGCGCCGCCTGCGGAGTGACCTATCAACATGATATTCTCCGGCTCTCCGCCGAAGCTGGCGATATTCTGTTTAATCCAATGCAGAGCCAAGCGCTGATCCTTCAGACCAAAGTTCCCCGGGAAATGCGCATCGCCGGCGCTTAAGAAACCCAGCGGTCCCACACGATAGCTGATCTTAACCATTATGATGTTCCCCGTGGACATGATGTACTCATGCCCGTTCTCCTCTGCACCGCCGAACATAAATCCGCCGCCGTGAATAAAGGCCAAAACAGGAAAACTGCTCCGACTGACATTCTTTGGCCTGTACACGCTCACAGTCAGGCAATCCTCCGTGCCAAGCAGCTTATTCGCCCCGTCTATGTACAGATTCCACTGCAAACAAAACTCTGGCGGCTGACTGGCATCGAAGGTCTCTGTCCACTGGCGCTTGTACGGCTGCGGCGGCTCGAAGCGCAGCGTGCCCAGCGGGGGTTCCGCGTAGGGAATGGACTCATAGCTATAATAAGCGACATTGTCCTTGCCACGCAGTTTGCCATTGGCTAGCTCCACCAGCAAAGGATCGGCCCGGGCAAATTCTGGCCCATGCAGGCAGAGCAAACACATCCACAATAGCCCACAAAACATGGTCTTCTATCGAAGAGTTCCCGGTTTGAACTGTGCCAAGCTAACCCAAACAAATCTCGTTTTATTTAGCCTGCCGCTGTGAGTAACCCTGATGCAAGGCAGGGGGCGTAGCATACGCATTCAATCGTGACAATCCAATTGTGAACATATTAGCAATAAATATAAGCTAAAGCTTACCCAGCTTATAAACATATTGCAAAATGGGAAATGCCAATTCTGATAAGTGCCGGACATTTAATTGAAATCACTATATTCAGGGTTCACTGTAATATTGACTAATCGCTAATGTATTTTTAAGTGCACCCTTCAGATAATGAAACAGTTTCATTTTTATTTGCCGGGCGTGTTCCCGTTGTCAGAAACGCGATTTTGCATACAATTTTATATGAATATAATTATATAACTGTGTGCATGTGCATACATATACATATGCAAAAGCACGCATACCTGTTCAATAGAAGCATTCTCTTGCGCCCTTTTTCACTCTCTCTATCTCTCCGTATGTGGCTTTATAAACCGAAACTACACAACTGTTAAAGTGAGTAAAACTGATGTTAAACCCATATTAAACTGTATATAACTACTCCAAATCAAACTAAACGCGTTTAACACAATTTCAAGTTACTATTTAGCTGATTTATCAATATAAGAAAACAATTAAATGCACACGTGCGGAGAACACAATTGATAAACATGAACAGACGCGCACAGACTAAAGTCAATCTCATTAAGCTCGCGCCTTTACTAAGCAAGCTTTTGCAAGCCAGCTTTTACAACAACAACAGCAAGAGTAGATAACGATCAAAGCTGCTGCTCTCACAAGCAGAGCTGGATACACACCTAACATAACGGAACCTAAGGCGTTTTAACCAATGTCGTGAACCCAGTATAGTTCGAGCTCTTTGGAGCAGCAGTAAATAGCTGCATTTGCTCTCTGAGCACAAAGGGGCAATAAACAATGTTCATTAAATGCCAAAAATCATCTTAAAATTTCAACTGTTTCTAGATGACCACCTCTAAAAATAATCAACTTAACTAGAAAAGAGCTGATGTGACAACACTCAATATTGAAAATAGCTGTATATAACAGAGCACCGACGGGCAATAAACAATGTTCATTGAGATGCCAAAAAATAGCTAAATCATATTAAAATTTCAACTGCTCACCTTTGAAAATAGCAAACGTTAGCTAGAAAAGAGTAGAATAGTGAGCACTGCATCAAAGGCAATATAAACATAATTATGTATGTATATTATCTTGTCTTTGACTGCATGCAGTGCAAATAAAAGCCTCCTTTACAGAGATGCGTGTACTTTTCAACTAAATGATCACTGCTTTTCGCGCAATCACTCTAAATTCATCCGACAAATAAACATACATACATATATTAACTTTTAAGCTATACTACATTTTAGACTAATTTTTCTAATAGAAGCTAAAGTTATTATATGCAGGGAAGATGTTGCACATATGTATTACACTTAAAAATATGAATATTGATTAATATATCTTGAAAAACATAAGGGAAAAGTAATTTTTCGACCATTCGTTTATATAGTATAGTCGTCCGATATAGTTTCGATTAAGTTAAGAGCAAAGTAAGCCTCGTAAAGGTCTAGTTTAATATAAAAATAGCATAGAATTAATTTTTTTTTTTTCCTTTCTTGATAGTGTTCTGTTTTTCTATCTTTCCTTCAATTCCTAACTCAATGATTTTCGATTGTGTATCTGACACGTGTCCAGATGCCATGATGAGTTTGGGCGAAGCTGCCCCACCTTCCAATTAAAGTCCGTTGCGTGCAATTGCTGGAGTTGTCATAGATAATCATCTCGTCCCAATCGATCAACTCGAAACAAAAACCCTTCATTATAATCAAAATATGCAAGCATTAGTGTACATATGTCAATTGCAATTGAAATTAACAAGCGCAATCTTAAGTTCTAAATAAGAAATTTGTTAATTAGTCGATAAAAGTCTTAACTGTCAATGTTTCAATTCCACTGTTTCCCAGTCGCGGTTAGCTGTATATGAAATGTGCCGTTTTAAAAGTCATTTAGTTATCGATAGCTTTGTTTTGAGCTTGTCAGATTGGGAGTCAAGGTGTGCGAGTGCGGAAACTCTCTCAATTTATAATTTCTGACTTTTATTAGATATTTTTTGTTTGTTTTGGATTTTCAGTTTTTGTTTTATTTTGACTATTAATGTAACTGTGAATCCAGGCAATAAGAAAGCAGCAGACAACTCTCAACCAAAGCACAGCATTGCGAGTATGCCAAAATCATCAACACCGAAGAGCAAAACAATTAGCATGGGTCGTACCAAAGAATGTCGCGGTCGTATGTGTGTGCACACATATGTTGTTGAATGTGTCACACATTTAAGCATCATATCCATGTTCCATATGCCCAGGACGAACTATGGTAAGATGCAAGCAAATACTGCTCTATAAATAATAACAGCCTATGCTCTTTTTCAGTTGGAATATTGATTATTGTGACTGCATTGATTTAACTGAAAGCGGCTTCTGTATATGTGAGCTGAGATGCGTTTTGTGAGTGGAACTATCAATACTATTTGATAGTTCTATAAAAGGGAATATATATACACATAGATATATATATATATACATATATATAATGAATAATTTCATTAAATAAACTCTTCAGATATACGCGAAGAAAATTGTAACTAGGAGTAAGTTAGATGCCTGACATTACTAGCTTTACATTGCACATTTTGCAACACTGGCAGCATGTAAGTGCTGTCCTAGCCTTAAAGATAATACTGCTGACAGTCGGATCTTGTGTTTGGCTACAAATGGATTTTGTTTGTAGTTCTGCCAGGTTTATATGCGTATATTCGCACAGTTTCAATGCTTGTGTCAACGTTTTAAAGTTTATGAAGTCTCCGAAATGGCCCCTTAACGTGCGTTGATCATATTTTGCACTCAGGATGCTGTTGTATTTCTCGTCATTTACATAAACATAAAGTCGTTTGTTATCCATGAAGCGATGCAGATGTAGCTTGTGGTTGCACAGTCTTCAAATTGGATTTGCCTATTATACATACATATATGCATATGCAGGGGACGCATACACTACTTTTCGACTGACCTATGCCAGTGGGCATCCGTCTGCCCGGTCTAAGTTTACGACTGCTGAATATATGGTTGTAAACTTGGCTGCAAAGTTTGTGTTAAACATTGCTTCAAGCCAAGTTAAGTCAGTTTCCATGTCAACAGACCGTAGTACTCCTCCCACCACACTCTCGCCATTCGATAGATTGGTCAACTCGCAAAATGTTGTATATGTTCAATGGCCTGTAAGCAGCCTGCCCGCCTGACAGCTCAGCCTGATTGCCAATTAGTGTTTGTCCCCCCGCCTCACCTAGACGTAGTCCTACCCACAGATATCAACCTATTCGATGGCCAACTCAAAGTGACGCCGTAATTTGTATCAACCGGAATCGCTTGGTTCTGGATTTCTCGGCTTGTTGCTGCTCGCATAGTAGTTCAAGGTTTGAAAGGTCTGAAATTCAGGCTAACAGCTGATTGGCCCTGCTTATTTTATATTTCCCACAGAAAATCTTATAGCCTAATTCCACTGCCAGCATTTCTTACCTTTTTTGCCTATACGTTTTCCCCTAAGAAACCACATTTTCACATTTGCAGGAAATGCGATAATTTATAGAATTTCATATCGATGTTATGAAAAATATAAAAGTATCATTACCATAAACAGCTGATATAGCAACAAAGGCAAGCGTTAAATTTAAATTATAATTTTACATTTTATTAATCCCACAATTTTTAACATATAAAGATGGCCAAAGAGCAAAGAGTTTATTAAATGGAACCCTTATTTCGTGGCCGTATGATTTGAGCTTTAAAAAGTAAACTTTTCGGTGCTTAGGTTAATTAAATCAAACCGATCAGCTTTTTATTTGAAAAAGCGGTACTCTTGCCATTCATACCGTTTCCGACCACTTGCTAATGGAATCGCATGTGCAGTTTGTAAATGTAACATATTTTGAGCATAGTGGAATTAATCAGTACAAAGAATCAATCCGTATTACAAAGGTAATTACTTTGCTAATGGAATCGCATAATGTGCAGTTTTTAAATGTAACATATTGGAATCAAGCATAGTGGAATCAATCCGTGTGTCTAAAATTTATAAATATACAAAGCTAATTACTTTATGTTTGAGTAAATCCAGATATTTTCTTGAATGTGTATTCATTTAATTGCTGGTTTTAATCCAACCCCATTGAGTAATAAATGCCCTTATTTAAAGTAATAGTGTATAATGTTCAAAGAAAATAATTATTATTGATTGTACCAATAGTTGAACAGTTAATACGCAATTATTTTTTAATCAGACATTGGATCAAAAATTGTATATGAGAAGATTTGTGGTATTTAGCTACAGCACTGATCAATAGTCAAAATACCCTATTTAGAGAAAGGGTGCTATGCTGGTCAAAAAATTAAAATTATAAAAATCTGCCTGGCTGCTTGCAAGTTGAAAGCGAGTGGAGAAGAAGAAGACAAGACTTTGGGACTTTGCGAATTATAGGCATAGCAGTGCTTAGAAACCACAACAATGAGTTAGAAGAGTGTAGAAGCTTAGATCATAGGCTGTAGCCTCGAACCAAAAAGGGATGGCAAGGACAGAATTGTGGTGTGCCATTTTTATTGTCGTGTTCTTTGTTTTGATTCTTTTCGTTGCTGGTTCTTATTGAAAATGTTCTGAAGTTGTCATTGAATTTTGGGCATCGGCAGAAGTAGCTGCAGACAGCCGGGTGTTGTGTTTGCAATTTGTGTTTGCAACCTCGCAATCTAGCTTCACATTTTTTGAAAAAGAGCGTTTGATCCAGAACACTCCTCTGTATCTGTTTATTACTCTATGAATCAAAGCTAAAAACTATCTGAATTAATTGCAGTGCTGCTTTCTATATCTGGCATCGCGATTGCCAACCTATCGACCTAGCGCTGCCACCCGGTTTTTGGACAAAGTTGATAAGGATATGAATGTTCATGGGAATAAAAGAATTTCTTATCGCCCGATTCCACTATACTCAACAAATCTTAAATTTTGTAAATACTTCACATTTTGACATTCAATGTGCTGGAAAGCGTTGTTGATAAAATGTTTTTGTATTGATACTTTCATATATATCCCAACAACGATATGCTATTCGATAGAAGTTCGCAAGCAACACGAAATTCAGTTTGAATTTCTTGCATATCTTAAATATGTGAGATACATTGTTTCTTATGGAAAAACGTGCTGGCAACATATATGCATATATAGTTTAGCATTCGCAAAGAAATGTAGAAAATGGTAATAGTGGAATCGAGCCATTAATGTTTGTGTGTAGCTCATTCAGAGAACCCGATAATTGTATCCAAATGTAACTATGTATATCATTTCTTTAAAACTCCGTTTACATTTTGTTTTATGATTATGCTTAGCATAACTCGGAGAGCTCCATTCAGTTGGCACTGTTAAATTCATGTTTTTTGTATTGTTCAGTCAAATGAATAGATTGTATAGCTGCTTTTTCTAACTTTCAGTCGACAAGCACTCGGAGAGATTGCAACATGGGAACATTGTACCGAGTTGTAAGAGATATGCGGCCCACGCCCGCCTCCATGGCCGCAAAGGAGCAGCTCGACCAGACGGAAACGCTGGCAAAGATGTTCGGCTGGCTTTCCGTGGATGGAGCTTGTTAGCGTTGATTTTATGCAGATTTTCGCGGAAAATTTATGTAGAGCTGCGCAGATACATTGTGTGTGGCAATGGAGGAGCGGGGGCTGAAAACAAGGCAGAAGCGAAGCCGAGTTTCTGGAAGTATGCGAAGTAAAGACAGACGGCAAGTACATGAAGTGTACATTTCATTTCAAATTGATTTATGCGACTTTTTCTCAGACAAAGAGATCCCCCGCTTCTCCTGTTGTACTATATGCCTGATTACTTTCAAAATTGCCAGCTATTTCAGCTCATATGGGGCTTATTGCCAGTGAAATAAGCAAACATCGATATATCGATTTTCTCTACAGTTTCTCTTACCGAGTTTTACTCGATGTTCAATGTGAGTCGCTTGATTCTTAAAAAGTTTCGGATTGTGTCCAATTCCAAATATCTGATAGCTACTGTAATCATCATAAATATCTATAGTATGTCTTACAACACTATTGCTAAGGTATTTATATTATAGGTATTCTGCGATTGATCAGGAACTGGTTTCTCTTTAATCTTGAAAGGCGACTTGGGGAACCACACAACCAGCTTCCCTAATAACGCAGTCCTGCTGAGGTCAACAAAACTGAGCTCGCAGATTTTAGTTAAAAGCTTCTTGCTGTACTCATAGCACACCCCTAGGCATACAAAACTTTTTCCCATACACATATACCAAACATCTGACTTGTATCTCTCGGTACTTAAGCCAAAATCTTTTTCAGTCAACATTCCTTAAAAGAAATATTTCCGAATATGCTTTCAAATGAATATGTGGGTAGATAACAATAACTGCTTAAGTGTCAAATTTAAACGAAACATTCATCGAAATTTAAAAAATGGGGAAATAAGAAAAGATTACTAACTTTATATATTCTTAAATCGGATATGATTTTTGTCAAATTTTTTTGATGTATTGTACAATTGTATAGGTAATCGATATATCGATCTCCTTAAGCACGAAGTGTTGATCCAACTACATTGGAGACTAACTAGCGTTTGGCAAGAACTGATTAGCCCCAATATTGATTTAATATTGTATCAAGTGGACCATAAATAGTGTTGCGCACATCAGCAAAATGCGGCTCGAACAAATCGTTTAACAGGTATTTACAATTGATGCATATATTCAAATTTATTGCTAATTAGCAACAAAAGTTGTGTGTGTGTGTGAGTGTGGGTGTATGTCGGTGAGTGGGTGGGTGACTGTGTGGGGTGTGTGAGTGACATGCAAATTTGATATAAAACTTACGCTATTGGAAAATTAATTTGGATTTCATTTGGGTCGTGTTTTTGGTGTTTGCGCGCGGCGGGCGGAAGCGACTCGACTTTAACCTGCCAGAGAGATTAGCCTATTGCCAGATAAATTTTGCTGATGTCAGCGATAACTGCCCTTGTGTATGTATGTGTGTGTGTGTCTGTGTGTGTACGTGTGTCTGTCTGACATTGAGGTTAAGCATGTGTGAGTTTTGGGGGCTGCTGCTACACACAGAACACGCCCCCTGCCCGTCTGCGCCAAACTCTATTAGGCGCCATAATTAATAGCAGCTTAACTTATAATTACGGTCACCGAAAACCACAGAGAACCGTTTTAGCTTAATTGTTGAGGTAGTTCTATGCAGCAGCATCTTCTTCTTCTGCTTATTTTTGTTGCTTTTTTTGGGGGTTCTTTTCGGTTCCTTAATTGAAACACATGTAAATTTGAAAGACAGCACGAAATTCAATATGGCAATTAGCTAAGTATGAGGTTAAGCTTGTAAGAAATTTATTATCTATGGGGCAAATATAATTAATTATTTAACAAGACATGGGTGGGTTCGATTATAAATGAAAATTAGATTGCTAGAGCCATAGAAATATAATATCTTATGCTTGTTAGAAACATATTTAACGATAAAAAGCTGGTTTGATACATAGATGATTTTTAAATTGATTGTTTTAAGCACTGGATTACTCGATTGATATGTTAGATATATGCCAGATAGTTAAAGATAAAAAACTATTATAATAGATGCATTCTAAAAAGGTTTATATATCGTAATAAATACTCATAGCACTGCCAAAAATTCTTACATTTTTTTCGATTGCAACTTTTTGAGCAAAAGATTACTTTAAGAGATTTTCAACTGAGTTTCTTTCACATAATATTTTCATAGATACAACTCTTGCACTTAAGAACAACAACTTATGGATGACAAATCAAAAGCCAATTTAATAAAGTTTTAATTTCAACTATTTATTTACCCAAACTTTTCTTGATTTAAAAAAGCTTTACATGCTTTCTCAAATTGTTGATTTAGTAAATAGTTTAAATTGTAGACTATTTCAAAATTTTTGTTTATTTATCTGAGCTATGTAGCTTGAGCTTGTTGTTGTTCTGGCATTAAAAGCTTGAGTCACAGATCCAAACTAATTCAATTTCTTGTAGGCATGCAAAATATGAATACCTACAGTTTTTATATTTAAGTTGTATTTTATTGCCAAATAAGTTGTTGTTTTGCTCACACTCAACCGCAGTTCGTGTTTAAATAAATTAAAAATTTGATTGACATTTACTTTGAGCACAAATCAAATAAATGCAAGTATTTTTTTTAATAATATAAATTCTTCTCGTGCGTAGCCGATAAAATTATCTTTAATAAGTCAGCACAAATCAAAGGTAGATAAACACAAATTCATAGTTAGCCTTTGGGCAAGTGTACTTTGGCTTTTAGCGTGATTAAATGTATGTAAGTATATAACTGTATTAACTATATACTTTACACAGCAGAGCAACAAAAACAAAAAGCATAAAACTTTCATGTTTATGTACTCAGTAAATGTTTTGCCAATAAAGTTTTATGGGTTAGTTCGAATTTATAGTTTTGTTTGTTTTCATTACATTTTGTCGCATTTTATTTACCATTATTTTTATAGCCCTTAACCAATTTATTTAGCCGAATATACTTTTTAATTTTACTAACTAACAGTGAATTGCAACTTTTTTCTAGATAATTGAATCGATATTTCAACGCAAATCTCATTTAAACCAGTTAGAAATAATTGAAAAAATACTCAACATTAGTTTTTGCTGCAATAGATACTTCGATAATAGAAGCTTCTTCAATGTGCGCTGATAAGTTAAATGAATTATGACTATAGGAAAAATTATCGATATACTAAAATGCGCCGCAATGGCCCTCGAAATCGTGTCCTTTATAAAAATATACTATATAGAATACATAACAGCAGATTCTCTCACATCGTTCCCATAAATTTCAGGACGATTCAAACAAACAACTATCGATATACTTAAAAGAGCTACAAGGCTCGAAAGCTCGCCTCTTGTAAATTATTAATATATAATATACATAATCGCAGAGTTTTTATCACATCATTATTATAGAGTTCAAGACAATCAGAGAAAGCTTTCGATACTATCGATATTAAAAAAGTTGCCTAAAAGTACGAGCATACCCTATATTAACCACTGCCAGGACTTAGATATTCTTGCATATTTCTCATTGCATCAATCCCATGAACTTGACAATAATCGAAAAGAAAATTATCGGGACTATCGATATTAATCTGTATCCCAACAAAGGCTCTTACTATCGATATCATAAAAGTAGCCCCGCAAGGAATTTGTAAGCATGTCCAAATTTTTGTCCTGTATATACTTCCAGATTCTCATCCCATCATCCCAACTTCCCGATACGGAGTACTTGCTCAAATATAATCCTAATGAAATTGAAAGAAAAATGCCCAAATTACGCCTCTGTCAATATTTGCGACGCATCGAGGGGCAAACAAAATTTAGCGTTTTGAAAAATAATGTACACAATCAAAATTAATCGAAAGCGATTAAAATATCGACACAAATTGAAAACAAGGCAGAGTGAAGGCATTTGATCGTTTTCTAATTGAGCTGATAAGAGATGATATATGAGCTTTGAGCGAGACTTTAAAGCAGCATACGATGGGCTTTAATTTTAAATAATTTATGTTCAAAAGCAAATCCGGTCGCAGGCAGCAAGAAAAATTTTACGAGATTTATAAGAAGTGAAATTAATGTGGCAGCGCGTCTTCAAGGCAAAGGCAACAAGCGCAAGAAAAAAATAAAATAAAAATGGTCCACAGAAAGTGTGGCAAAAAATTTGCTAGCAAAGCGATGAATCTGCTGGCGCAGAGGCCTCTGGACAGGCTCTGGCACGGCCACGCCCCCCGCCCAGCTCCACAAATGCGAATCGAATTTATTTTATTTAGAACACCATCTCCGTTGTCGCCCTCGTCCCTCGTCCCATTGGCTTGTTGTCCTTGCCAGCCGAAAAGCGAAACTTTTCGCGCTTAGTTGCCTACTAAAAGCACAAAAACAGTTTGCTTGTTCTTAGACGCGGCAGCGCTTTCCACAATTTTCTTAATGCCGTTTTCTGTCGCTTTTCTCGCTTTTATTTTTTTTCTTTTTGCGCGCGCATTTGAAGTTATTTCAAAAGTTTTTCGCCCACTCCACATTTCCATTTGCTGCTCTTTGCCTGTCACCAAATGGCAACTTAACGCAAAAAGCTGCCGGAAATTGAAATACAGAACTGGGCTAGAATTGGTTACTTCATATGGGCGCTGCCCATTAATAACAATTTTCCTACAAAGCAAAACTATTTAGCCAAACATGACAGAAATCTATATCAGCAGAAAACTAAACGAAAACTCACAGTAAAAATGTTAATTTATATTCATTTATTCCAAACGAAAACGTTTTTATGGCATGAAAGTTCTTGGAGAAGATTTTTGGAATTTTTTGATATTTTCACAAAACTTGACATCTTCAAATCGATGACTAAATGCAGCTCAATGTGGTCACAAAAGAGAATCTACATATTTGCATTTTTGCAGAAAGTATAGCAGCTCCATTTACATATGACACAAAAGTAAGCAACTTTCAGGTTAGGTTAGTTTGGGCGCGATAGATATTGCAGTTTGGGGAAAGCACATACTGAGTACTACCCTATACTTAAGGAATGTTAAAATACTTGCAATAGGATTAGGCAATTTTATTTATTGAAAACTCTTTCTATGTTTTTACAGCATGGCTATCAGTTTTAATTATAAGTAGGTATCGATGAAAAGATTATTGTATTATCGATAAGAAGAAAGGGGCTGCCGATATATCGCTAGCTGACAAAGAAGGAGGACGTTTAAACACTAATAAATTGAAATAAATAAATAATAAATACTACGCAAGACTGCAGCTTTTTAGTAATTAAACCTATTTCGTAAAACACGCTGAAGTATTTATTTAAGCATTTATAAAAGTTTTTAAAATGAAAGGAACTATCTAGTAATAGAAATATTTCATATTTATTTAAAACCCGTATTTAAATTTTTATATTTCGATTTTCAAAAAAAAAACCCAAAACACACTTTCCTAAAATTGTAAACGCATGATATCTGAGCCCTAACAAATTATACCATTCGACTACATATGCTGGCCTACCCCAACTCTGAACTCGTGTCATACAATTCACCTGCGTCCATGGATTACCCGAAACAGAGAAAAAAATCAATTTAAAGGCAATTTTCATGCAACGAAACGCAAAATTCGAGCTTAACATGCAGACGATATGCTTCCGGGGCAGCTCATGTTGCGGAATATCTTATCCCTTAGTTGTAGTTTGTTTTTGCCATTGTCCATTGTTGTTGCTGTTATTGTTGTTGTTGCTTTTGGCTGGCACAGTGGGCCGCTCGCCGTATGGTACTACGTAGTATTTATCCATCACTGACAATGTCAAATATATTACCCATGATGAATGACTCTGCGGATTTGATGAATGTGTTTTGTGGCTTTTCGCCTCTTCCATAAACGCGCAGCCCCACAGCATACATGTCTATGTAGTTGTGTGCGTGCGTGTGTGTGTGTCTGCTATAGAGAAGCAGCCCGAAATAAAAGATATATGTTTATGGCAAGAAAAAAGTAAATCTGCACATGATTTATAAAATTTCAATGGCAGAATGCAGATATGTCAATTCTGATATAGGTGCTCTGATATGTGAGCTGTTTTCGCAATTCCAACAATAAGTGAAAAACATATCTCAAACAAATAAAAACCCTGCAAATATTGAAGCTCTTCCAACTGACTTTATTCCAAGCAAAGCTAAATGAATCCCATTTTCATTGGAGCTAAACAATTATTTACTTCTATCTTTAAAGCTTGGGAACATCTCAAAAAAGAAATCACGCCAAAATACATATGTCTGCCTATAATAATAATAATTCTTATTCAAAAGCATTTATAGTGACGCGAAACATAACACATGCAGTAAATGTTAAATAAATAAAGTGTTATCATAATTATAATAGAGTGTCGGCTATTAAAGCATTCATAGACACAGTGGCTGCTGGAAGTAACGTCTCAGCAACAGAAGTCACACCTCCGTGTGTCGCACATCAAAGGAGTCGAATAAATTACTCAGGAAAGAAGGCACGTTCCTGTAATAATGGCTGGTCAATTTTAATGAGTATACGTAGAGGCACGCACATGCCTTATATGGCACTATAATACACACACACATACACACACGCACAGCCAGGCAGCTCAAGAGGAGCGTGCGTACGCCCATTGGCTGATATGTCCATTGCGGCAATTGAACGAGTTTTGTGCCGGCGAGTCTGTCAGTAACGGCTCGTCCTGTGAGAGGATGTCAGTGAACAGGAGTTGAATATGCCTGAGTCCGAGTGTGCGTGTGTGTGCATTGTAAGCTGAAGAAAAATGCTGCGGTAATTACATTAACAGCAGCACCGGAAGTAAGAAAATGTTGTTTATTGAAGCCAACTCTGAATTGTAACCATTTTCATTAAGATTGAAATATGTATGTATCTTTGTTATAGCTATGGCCATGAGAAGACGGAGGGTTACAACAAAAGTTGGCGATTGTTAATGTTAGCGATAAGGATATAAAGAGAATGTTTGGCAAAAGGTAAGCAAATGTACAGCAAATATGTTTTAATATATATGAATATAATTTATCAACAAAAACATGATTTCCAGCACTATTTAAAGGGAAATCAAGAGTGAAAATATTTGGCAACATTGTTTTAAGCGAATTATGGCAGACTCAATAATGTATGGGGAAATATTTATATAATGTGTAATAAGAGCATAATTTACAAACAAATTTTTCAGCACTATTTAAAAGGAATGCATAAATAGAAAAATTTCACAGCACTGTTTTAGGCAAATATTTATAAATGCATTATCAATTAAAAACAATAGCTAAATTTTCCAACACTATTTATTGTCAATTTAACAGTGAAAATATTGGAAAGTCATACTTAGCCGTATTTCACATGCTCTAAATGATGAATAGAAAATATGTATAATTATAATCAAGAAAAAACAAGTTTTTTCAACACTGATCTGCATAGACTGTACTTTAAATAACAATATATGTATATATATATTGGGGCTTTAACAACAATATAATCTTTTTTAAAGCACTTTTCTATAACTGAAATATAAACTTTAAACAAAACTTAACCGACTGTCATTTTGCTTTGTTTGCACGAAAAATATATTTCGGCAAAGCATTAAAATCTAGCATAAAATTAGATATCTCTCTTGATACCAGTTAAACTATTTATTTATAGCAAAAATATATTTTTAATAATATTTTACGCACTTAGTTGCATGCGTTTCAGGCCAAGCTCTCAAGTATTTGCCATGATTTAGCTGCGTGGATGAGACGGACGTCGTGACATGGCGGAGGGACGGAGGGAGTATTCACATTGGGAGGCACAAGTGCGTTTAATGATTCAAGGCTAGTACGTTGGCCACTGGTTAGGCCATTAAGTACAGCCCCGGCCATGTTTTATGGCCACGAAACATGTTTGACCAAAAATGGGAAAAAACAAAACTTTGGAAAAATTTAACTCTCTGCTTCTTATTTTTTTATTAGTTTTGCATAAATAGGTGAAGCGACAACGACAGAGAGACAGAGAGACAGAGAGAGAGAAAGAGGGGATTGTTGGGACCTATGCATGATAACTGTCTATAAAAATATATTTTTCAGTTGCGTTAATTAAATTTTTATTGACATTTCTTTTTGGTAATTTCTGTTGCAATTAGAACTCTGTCTGGGTTCGGGATCTGGCCGCGTGCCAAGTGCAAAAATGTTATCAGAAAAACATTAATGCGACAATTACGACATTTTTAATTGTTTTCAAGTCGCACTCGTTTATTGCCGGTATTGTTAGACTGCCATATTGTTGGCCCTGCTGCAAAACGGGTAATTAAAAACGTGTTATAAAGCAACTGCGTGTCTCTAAGGAGCAGGAGGCGTGCCGGCGCTTTGCCGCTGGGCAAATGCTGGGCACCGACAACAAAGTCGCGTTAATTGCCGGCTGTTGGGCGAAATTAATGTTCGTTTTAGAAGCATTTTACTTTATAAAACCTAATGAATGACTGATGACATTATAAATGTTTGGCGACCCCAAAAGTAAAAGAAGAAGAAGAAGCAGCCGAAGATACACATTGACAAACTGTCAACAAGAACTTTGCACTCAAGTCTCTCGATAACTGCAACCAGCTGGCAACATCAATAGCTTCTCTGTCAATAGTTGTTAACTTTTTTTGCCAATAACTTTTACCCACTCTGTCTTTAGTTTGTGCTCCATTCAATTATTAGTGTCTGCTTTTGGTCGCCTGAAAGGGCGACCCGCTAATTGTCTGGCGATGGGTGAAAAAAGTGTGTGGAAAAGTTGGTGGAAATTTCATTAAATTTTCATTTCTAATTTTCCAAATGGATTAACGCTAAAAGATGCAGAAATCTTTCATCATAATTAGCACGCGGCGCTGGCTACCAACCAACACGCAGAGCACATAGTTGTCCACTCTAATGTACACACGCACACACACACACACACACGCACACAGACACATGAACATGGCCAAGTCCACTGCTCCCTAAATCCCCATTCACGCCTCCGTTTCCCTTTCCATCACATTGCCTAGCATTTTTCTTTTTTATTCCCTTATATTCCTTGGGTATTATCTGTTCGTGATAAAGAAGAGCGAGATTTTATCGCATTAACTATACAGATATATTTACAGCCAAGATCTGATTACTAGACCATGCTCTAAGTATATTGACTGAAGAGTCTAGATTACATATAGAAACATATTTTTAAATTTATCATAAGATATTAAATTTTTTGATTTCTATATAATTTATATCCGCGACTTATATACTTATATTATAAAAAAAAATTTTAAAGATATGGGATATATGAGATAGATCTATATCATAGAATAGGAATTCGATCAAAATATTCATCAAAATACTACTTTCCACAAAGCGTTTTATTTCGCAGTCAAATTGTTGTACTCGTCATATATAGAACTACAATGTAGGGTATTTAAGCTTCACCCTTGCATAAGCTTACCAATTTCCTTCTTTTTTTCTGAATATATATTTTTCCATTTTTGCTTATGCTTTCATTTCTGTATGCAATGTTGCCGGCGGCATGGCCTTGCGCCTTGTTTGACTAACTCATTTTGAACAATTTGCGAGGCTGCTTGGGCGCACCCCACCCGCCCGCTGGCTGTTTAATTAAGCGCCCAGATAAGATACTGTTAGTCTTAAATGTGCTACTTACAATCTGTTGAACAGAAAGCGAAATCTAATTACAGTTGCACAAAAGCAGACCCCGCAATTTTCATGCCAATCAATATTTAAGTAGTTGAGCAAATTTTTCTTTACTTCATGATTATTAAGTAGCTTCTCCTTGTTGTTCTGCATATTTAGCGAATTTTTTGGCTTTTTCTATTTAATTTGAATGAGTCTGCATGGCATGAAAACTGACTGCTCTTTGTTCTAAATGTATGCATTTGTATTTTAGCTATACAAAAAATAGCTGGGATGCCCTACAAAGTATGCTACGAGAAATTTATGCTTTTAATGTTTATTTGTAGCTTTAAAAGGTGGCTGAAATGCCGAAAAAATTATGCTGTGAAAACCTACAAGCTTAGAGTTTTCTTTGTTTTAAAGGTGAGCCTTAATTAATTTTAAACGGATCTCGAAAGAAAAACCACTCATTTTAATTTTGGTATAAACTAAACATAATATTCACATTTAAATAAGTTAAATAAGTCCTTTTACTGGACTTAATCTTAATATGCATCCGAATCGGAATTTTAAACGGATCTCAACAGAAAATACCTCGCTTATTAATATTAGTATAATCTAAACATAATAATGACAATTAAATAAATTTATAATTAATAAAATAAAACTCTAATATTCAACTAAAAAGTAAACATTATTTGAATACTGCAAGTTGAGCTGACTTAACCGGAAAAGCAGAAAGCTTAATATTCCAAACAGGATTATTAAAAAAAATATTAAAAATGTAACTCAAATCAAGATCAAATCGAATACCAAACATTTCTCATTTCCATTATTTACTTGGTTTTCACTTGTAGGAATTCGCCTGCAGAGTTAAGCATGAAATTTCTTGATCTTGAATCTTTGCTGCACGCATTCTATTCTGAGCTCAAAGTAAATTTTATTTCAGCGTATTTTCATGAACCATTTTGAGGATTTTGTTGCCCTTATTTGGATTTTTGTATGAATAAATAAAATATTAAATGCAACAAAGCTTTTAGCTTGTCGTAAGACGTCAAAGAGCAAGGGGCACTTTCTGCGCCAAATTCCAAATCCAATTTAATTGAAAACAAGAACAGCCACGTGGTCACACAGAATGCCGCAGACATGAGAACATTTTTGGAGAATTTACTTTTGCCATTACTGCAACTAAAGTCGCACACAAAGACTTTCAGCTGCTTCATAAGTCTCCCAGAGGAGGGGTGGAGTGCTTGGTCTGGCTGAAGGAGGAGCAGGAGAAGGAGGAGGTGGTAAGCAAAAAGTGCATTTCCTTAGACGCAACTCGGAATGAACTCATTTCGTCGCTGGCGCACAAAATTACAAAATACTGTCACGTATGTTGCTTTTTAGAATATTGTACAGGGTCGGGCTGGGCGGTCACAAAGGCAAGCGGAAGCAGCGAAGGATGCTCAGACAAGAACTAATGCTAAAGAAAATATCAACTTCTAACATAAATTCGGGTCAAAAACTTTAATTTAAACGAGTGCCAGTGTCGCCTACAATGTTGTTGTTGTTCATGCTCTTCTTATTTGTTTGTGTTGCAACGTTTTGGTAAGCAGAGGCGGTAGCAAAAAGCAAGCATCACGTATACGCACTGTAACACAAACACAAAATACAAATAAATTAGATGCACTTATAACCAGCCAGCGTCGACCCAGGGCGTGGGGAGTGTGAGGCATGGGAAGGTTGTTGGCAGTTGGCAGCATCGCAAATGCAAGAAAGGAAATTTACTAATTTCAAAGTTTTGCACGCATTAACCTCGAAAATCTTCGCACAGGCAAATGCCGATTTGTACACAGATGAAGTGTAGCAGTGGTGGAGAGGTCGGTGGGGGTGAGGCAAGAATGTCACACAACTTGAAGACACTTGCGATTGCAGGCAGCAGACAGAGACACACACACACACTCGAAAACGCTTGTTGTATTTGTGCAAATAATTTGGGTCACGATCTGCTCATGGCACGAACGGGCAGGCGGGCTGTCGGTCGAGCGGATGTGGGGCATGCGGCACTGGTCGAGGGCTGTCTTGCATATTGGTTGGCATGGCTCAAGCGAGCAGCCGGCAGCGAATGCGAGGGACAGCCGCTGCTGCTGCCGCTGCCGCTGCCGCTGCCGCTGCCGACGATGACAACGGCGACAAGTTAACGCGGCGTATACGTAACCCCAGAGCTGAGCCCGGGCTAAAGGCGGCTAAGGACAATAAAGACGTGGGAGTGTGCTGCAAGTCGTGTTGAACTATTGTCAAGTTTTAACCTCGATATGCAGCGATGTCAGATTAGGCGACGCACACACTGAAGGATTTGCGCTGTTCTCTTTGGAATGCAGCACAGCTGGGCACAACAAAAATAAGTAAGAAATGCTGCAGCAGGCCAATGCCAGAAAGATGATGGGGGCATCAGTTTGTACACTAAATGTGAGAGGGGATAGGAGTGAGTTGGGAGGAGGATAACACTCGCGTAATCATGCAGCGTCGACGATAGAAACGCATCTCGACGACGACCTCTTGAGTGCATAACAACAAATGAAATTGTGTGACAAGGGAACTGAGTGGATATTACGAGAGTGCCATGGGATAAAATCAAGACAATGTGAATAAAATTTAGAACTTTCAGTTGTAGCGGAGAAATTTAAAATATAAGAGACTTATATGATTTTAATATAAACAAAGAAGTTTTCTACCAGGTCTATAAAATTATAAAATAAATATAAACTAATAATCTAGATAAATA